AAATATAGAATCTGTGTTCCATGCAATGTGTCATTATTCTATTTTTAATTCAGCATCAGAGGGGCATAAAAAAAAAATCTTTCCCAGTGATAGAAATTATCTGAAATATAAACCCTTCAGTCCAAGTTACAAAGGGTTTTGCCTTGTATGTCTAAAGATTTGGACAAGCATGAGATAGTGAACATGAATTAACTCAGATGAAGGTCTGAGAAGACCTTGATGTCTGCAGTTCAGCACTGATAATTTAGCTTATTTATACAAAATTTAATTTATTTACATACTGTCCCTCATTCTCAATCAGACCCCTGTCAGCTGAGTGACCTGTGGAGCTCACACAGACAGAGGCAGAGCAGATGGGTTTGATTTTCTCTTTGCATTTTGGATTTGAAAACAAACTCCAGATAAAGGATTGGAACTGCTAGATAATGTGTTTATCTAATGGAAACATAAATACCACGTTTAATCCTGAAGCTCTGCCCATAGTGGTGTATTTTGGCTGTCTGCTCCTTCAGGCTCTTGGGATTTTGTGTGTTCTGAACATTCCCAGCAGTAACTGGAACTTCTGTAAATAGGCCAGCCTGCTCCAGGTGACACAGCATGGAAACACTGAGCAGTTCTTGTTCTTGCTGCCAGGCTTCCTTAAAACGTTTTTCCTGGAATATTTCAGCTCCAAATTTATATTTGATTTTGTTCCTGATCTGCTCTTCACTAACTCAAGACCAGCTGTCCCCTGTCTCACCAGCATGAGATCCAACCCTGAGAGAATCCTCATTTTCCAAAACAGCAAAACTGTGTTTTGATACAATAATCTGAGTGTTATAGTGCCTTGGCAAGGCAAAAACTGGGAATTCTGGTCAAGTTGAGATGTGTTGCTGCTTTTGTAGCAATTAGGAGTCCTTACCACAATTAAATATTTAATTAGGTGTTCATAAGGCAGAGGACACAGAAGTGGGGACAGCATTCAGTAATGAACACTAATGACTGGGGCTGCAGTGCCCTCAGGGATTCTGATGTTGTTGTACATTTATTTCCTAAGAATAATTCATGAGATTCTGGAGTGTTGGTCAGCATTGCTGAGTACCTCTGCACACAACATCTAATTGTTAATTATCATTGAACTTCTCCAGGAACATCAACCACAGACAGGAGATATTTACTGGTGAGTGGAAAAAGGAATAAATCTCATCTCTGCAAAGCTGTGCCCCTCAGCTTGAATATTTAATCAAGAAAAACTTCTCATCACTGGGGAAAAAATAATATTATTGTCCTGTGGCAATCCAGGGGTAAAGAACTGGAGTTTATTTACCAAGACCTTGTCCACAGTGAAGATTTTTTTTTGTTGTTGCTTATAAACCTTTTCCTGGGAGCTGAACTCATCACTGGAGAATCTTTTAGTTTTAATTCTCCATTGAGGTGTTGGGAATTTTGTGTGCATGTAAAGACATTCTGAACCTGCTCCCTTAGGAAATGAGGATGGTTTGATGTGAGCTGATCTGTGTTTGCTCTCAGTGCCCTCCCAGGGGCTGCAGCCACAATCCCACCTGCACTGCTCATCTGCCTCTGACTCAGAGGAGTTGCACTCTCCAGATTTTGCATTTAGAGTTTATATAACACATCCTCTTTGTGCAAAAAGTGTTTTCTTCAATCCCTCAGTGGTGTTTTTTGACTTTCCCTGCAATTCATCCTTCAATAACCTCCCGTTCATAGAATGCCTCATCTCTGGGGCTGTCCCAGGAGATCCCAGAGCACAGACTGAGGTTTAAACAACAAGAATCATCCAAAAATCCCAATTCTGGCATTTCATTAGGAGCAGATGAGCAGCAGAGCCACTGCAGCAAAGAGCTGCTCAGTTTGCATTTGACAGAAGGCAAATATTCATGGTGAAAATCCACCCTGCAGATTGGCTGAGGAGCTGAACAAGTGCAACAGTGCTTAAAGTCACCCCTGAATGATAAAATGTCACATAAAGCATGGAGGGGTCTCCTTTGAGATTGAAAAGGAACTATTTTCCTACAAACCCTAAAGAATATTGAATAATTAATTGGGTTGTTGCATTGTCCTGTGTGTGAAAGTTTTGGAAGGAGTAATTCCCCCAAATTCCAAGCAGGATGCTGCAGGCCTCTCATTAAATAAACCCCATTTTCTGTCTGATCAGTGGGGACCACACTGGAGTGACCATGACAGTGCCACTGACAGTGGAGGTGGCTCTGTGTGACAACTCTGCTCCTGAACTACCCCAAAAATCTGCATTTTAGGAGGTGAGTTTGTAGAACAGCCCCAGAGCTCCCAGCAAAGTGCTGAGAGGAAACCCAGCCCAGCCACCAAGTGATTTACTACCCAAACAAAGCTTGCAAGGAGCTCCAGGGAGGGCAAGGAGCATTGCACTTGTTAGGAGGAGAGCCTAAATACTGGATTTATCTGATTCAAGAGTCCCAAGCTTTTATTGGGCTATTTGTACCTAATTTGTTTTATGGGAGCAGTCCCAGGCCGAGTTGAATTTCCCAGTGTTGTTATTCAGCTCTAAGGAGAATTCCTTCTCCCTTGGCAGCCTCCTCTCTTGCTGGGCACCATTAACTGCTGCAGTCTGGAACTGCAGAATTGGGTAGAAATTACAATTTTCCCCTTTTTCCTGCCTCTGAATGATACTCTGAGCAGCTGCTCTTCATTCTCTCCACACTGAGGCCAGAGCTTCTCTTCCTTCTCATTCAGCTTCTCAAGGCAAGAGATCATTTTCATATTCCTGGACTTCATGTCTGATTTTTCCAGAATGAGCAAAAAAATATAGGCTTTAACAGCAGCCTGGTGAGTTACAGAGTATTCACAGGTAATTAATATTTTATCTGTCTTCTCCATCAAAATAGCAAAATTTTCAGAGATTTGGCACTTGGATGAAAGCATAATCCAAGTGAGGGCTGCTGGCTTTACCACAAAATCCACTTTGACCTGGAAACCAGAATTCCTACTGGAATCCATCTGATTTACCAATTACACAAAACCAGGCTTGGTCTTTTCACTCTCCTAAAGCCTCTGGATCCATGTGAAAAATCTTTCCCTCGCTTGGGATAATTTAACTTTGCTCAAACCTCCTTATTTCAGTAGAGGCTCTGATTTCAGTGTGGTATGTATTAAAAAAGTTGTGTTTTCTGAAGGGGCAAACTGGGTTCTGGAATCCTCTTTCCTCAGCAGGGAGAGATCTCTAAAATATTTAATCCAGCTCTGTTCCAAGTAAAGCTTTCACTCAGATGAAAACATGTTCAGGGCATTTAACTTGATTAGGGGAAATTTACTATTCCAATTCCTTTTTTGTCACCATCCTCCCATTAAAATTTATGAGGGCTGATTAGTACATGATATTTTTTTCTGTGTTTTTTTTTAATCAGAGAGCATCTTTAAAAAAAGAAATGAGGGCTCAGCTCTGGCAGCTGCACTTCCTTGCAGGCACAGTTCAAAGGAATGGTTTCTATATGAATTTAATGTCCAGTTTTGGGGGGAGGTAGAAGCTTTACATTTTGATTAATGAAAATTACTACATGCTCACAAATCAGCAAATTGGTTTGCAGGGAAACATTCTGAGGTTTCAGCTTTCAGAATCTCCAAATTCCTGCACCAGGGGCTGTCAACTCTCCTGGCATTAATTCCTGCCAAAGCCCCATCCCTCCTGTACAGCCAAAATCAGTTCTCAAATCAGAAACAAAGCAACAAGGCAGGCAAAAAATAACGTGGTTTCATCCATCTTTTTTGGTTTTTTGGGTTTTTTTTAAGCATAAATGAAATTAGCACCATTGTGACTGAGGAACACTCCTTGATGTCAGATAAGCATTCACGGCAGGCCTTACCAAGTGGGTTTTAAGACCATTCAATTACAGTGCATGATTTTATTTAATTAGAGAGGGGGAAAAAAAAGGTTGAGAGGATGCCTGGGAATATTCCAGCACAATTTCCATCTTAATAATTTGCAGCACTGCAGATTGTCAGGTCACTTTCTGCAGTGTCTGGAAGGCAGAACAATAAAACCACCCCAGGGTCTCTTTGTTGGGTTTGTAAAAGGAGACTCCGAGAGAGGGTCCAAGATGAATCTTTGAGATGCACAAATTCAACATTTACTCACTGGACTGCATGGAGAGCACTCCAGTTATAATGAATTTGATGATGCTGCCTCTTAATTTCTTAATGCATCTGTGTCATTGGATCAGAATTTAATTCACTTTTCATTTCACTTTGATTTATTGTTCTCTTTAGCCCAATTTCTTTAATAAACAGGAATGTTAGCAAAGGACTTCTTGAAAACAGAGAATTGGCATTTAAATTAAGAGCCTCCAGTTTGGGGCACCTGATCCACCTGCAGTCAGGGCTAAAGGACATTTATTACCTTGGGCATTTTCTTCTGTAGATAAAGGAAGAAATTCCTTCAGTGCTACCACCAGGTTACAGATTTGAGTTCCTATCAGTGCACAAGACCACAACATTATAACCATTAAAAATCAGGAACACAGGTACTTTGTCTTTTTTCTTCCCCACAATCAGGTACCTCTTCCTTGGTCCTTAAGAGAGGGGGAAAGAAAGAACAGATAAGTGCAGATTAGTGGGTTTAAAACCCTTTACAGAAATGTCACATATTTACATTTTATACTTTCATTCCAGGTATAAATTCAGCCAAAATTAAATCAAAGGATGGATTTTCCCTTCTGTCTCCAGTGAGCCAATGATATTCAACCCTTGTCCTTGCTGTCCAGACCTGAAGAGCTTTTACCTTTAAAAAAAGAATCTGTAAAAAAGACAAAAGTAAGAAAAGAACTTTTAATAATCTAAGGCTAAAATGGTAAGAAAATGTATGTGAAATTCAGAGTATTAACTGTGTCTGAAGAAGTCTGTTTTCCCCTCCTTTCTCCAAAGTCAGCTCTGTTGTCTCCCCTCAAAACCAGCAGGTATGGAAATATCTTAGAGCAGAAGACATTGGGGGGGGAATTTTTGATAATGTATTAAAAAATATTTGGAACTAATCAAAACACATCATTGTACCAACACAAACAAAAAGCAGAGAGGCAGCACCAGTGGCTCAGTCCTTGCTCACTGGAAGAGGCTGCTGTGGTGCAGAACATCAAGGGCAGACCCAAAGGTCAGCACTTCCTTGTGGAACTTGCTGAGCTGCGTCTTTATTTTCTTCAGGGCAGGAGTTGTTGCCTTCTTCTTGTAGCACATGGCTTTCAGCAGTTTATCAGCCAGGTAGTGCAGCCAGAGGACGTTGCTGTGGGGGTGGTAGTCAGTCCAGCTGTTGGAGTTCTCCTCCTTCATCTGCCTGTAGATGTCAAACTGGGGGTCCCCAGCGCCCTGGAAGAGCTCCAGGTCCGTGGAGAGGTCGCAGAAGACGGTGAGCCCGTCCTTCTCCAGGCGGGACAGGGTGTAGTCGATGATGTTGACGTGGAGGCCAGCGGTGGGGATGGAGTGTGTCTGTCCATCCAGCACGTACTGCAGCTCCCTCAGCTCTGTGCTCCTGACCAGCACGTTCCCCCAGTGCAGGTCCCTGTGCTCGAAGTGCAGCTCCTGCTCTGCCACCGCCAGGGATGCGGTGACCTGGTGCAGGATGCTCCTGGCTGACGCCACCGAGGAGAAGCTGCTCCTCATGCGCTCCAGGTCCCGGCCCCCAAACTCAAACTCCAGCACCATGAACAGCTGCTGGGCCCCAAAAAAGTCTGGCCGGTCGTTTTCTGAGCCTGTTTCTTCGTGGAATTTGTCCCAGGCTTGCAGGAGATACCTGGGATAGGCCCCCTGGACACAGTGCACAGAGTAGAGGCTGATGAAGCCCACAGTTCTGTTCACAGAGCCCTCAGACAGGAGACTGACCTCTTTAGAAATTATTACCTCAGGCAGAATCTCCCCAAAGCTCTTCTGAGCTCCACCATTTACTTTTTCAGTCCCCTCAATAGGAATTATTTTTAAGGCCACAGGTCCTCTCTCGCTGTCAATCTGGAACACCTCTCCAAACACCCCTTCTCCAATTTTCTTGCAATCTTTCATTTTATTTAAAGGAATGCAGTCCTCAAAAGCAATAGGGCCCTCCTGGTTGCATTCTCCAAACACTTTCTCAGCATCTGTAAGGAGCAGCTCCAGGACAGAGGAGGAATCCCTGGGAGCCAGCAGGACCATGGAGGAAGCAAACCAGGAGCTGCCCTGAGCTTTGCCAGCAGACAGGCTGGCTTGGTACCCCGAAAGCTGGGATTTCCCTGGGGGGGTGCAGAGGCTGCTGCTGCAGAAACTCTCATCTGTGGTCACTTTCTTCTTTTTATGGAAGGACAGAGACGCTCGAACTCTAGCCCAGGAATAAGAGTTATTGAGGAGCGAAGAGTCATTGTCTCTGACACCTACAGACATCCCCAGAGCTCTCCTCCGAGTTAGTTTTTGCCTTGTCTGGAGTCTGAAAAGGGAATTATTGGGCTGCTGCTGCCTCTTGTTCTTGCGCCACCTGGGCCGGAGGCGGGTGTGCCTGCCCCAGCGGCTGGCACTGAAGCCGCTGATACAAGCTTTCCTGCAGGTGCTGCCCTCCCCAGGGACGCCCTTGGTCCTTTTGTGCTTGTTCTCCAAGATCCCCTGGCGGCCCACGGGAGATCCTGGCTGCAGGCAGGCAGGTTGAACATCAGCCTGGTTGTTGAGTTTCATGCTCTTCAACCTCATTGGCACTTCCAGGGGGTCCAGGACCACCACTGGCACAAGTTGGTACTCCTCAGCCAGGTCTCTCTGACAGCTCGAGCTTATTTTTGCCGAATCTCTTGTGAGATGAGATGGGACCTCAGAGGGCTCCTCACGAGTGCCGCTGTCACAGGACACAAGGCGCTGTGGCTCCCCCTCCAGGGGCGGGGAGGCGCTCGGGGCTTTCAGCGGGGTCGGGCCAGCCTGGGCCGGGCAGGGTCCCCGCACCGCCGACCTCAGAACACGGCGGGACCCGCGCAGCCCGGGCTGGGGCTCACAGCTCCGAGCCGAGCCCTGCGCTCGGAAACACTCCGGCACCTCCTCGCCAGCGCTCAGCAGCGACGGCCGCTGCCCGGAGCCCCGCTCGCGGGAACCGCGGTGCTGCGAGCGGGGCTCGCCCAGCGCCGAGCCGCCCTCGATGGTGGTGCTGAGCAGGAGCGAGCTGAGGCTCAGGGGCGAGCGGCGGTGGCGGGGCACGGGGCTGTCCCCGGGGGCCGAGGCGCTGTCGGCGGTGGAGCTGAGCCGCAGCGGGGCCCATTGCGGGGTGCTGCACAGCAGCGGCGGCCGCGCCGCGCACAGCGGGCCCTGCCGGCGGCGCCGCGAACCGCGCGGCGGGGACGGGGACGGTGACGGGCACGGGGAGGGCGAGGACAGCGACGGCGGCGAGCGCCGGGGCTCCTCTCTGCGCCCGCGGGGCTCTTTGCTCTGGCTCCGCTTCTTCTTCCCCGGCGGCTCCCGATTCTCCTTTCCCCGGCCCCGCGTCACCCGCCCCCGGTTCTCCGGCTTCCGGTTCTCCTTCCCGGCCGGTTCTCGGTTCTCCTTCCCGGCCGGGCCCCGGTTCTCCTTCCTGCGGGTCCGCAGCCGCCGGGCCCAGGCGGGGCGCTTACCGAGGGTCTGCAGGGGCCGCTTGCCGGGCGGCGAGAAGTCGGGGTCGTCCGAGGGGATGGAGGCGGCGCTGGAAGCGGAGAGGGCGCTGGAGGCGGCGCTGGAGGCGGCGGAGGTCGAGCTGAAGAGGCGCTTGCGGTCCTGCGGCGGCGAGATCCATCGGTCGGGCGGCGGCAGCGGGCGCAGGTAGCCGGCGCGCCGCGAGTAGGTGCGGAGCAGCCGCGGCTGCAGCGGCATGGCGGGGCCGGGCCCTCGCAGGGAGCCCGCCCGCCGCCCGTTCGAACGGGTATCGCGAGAGCGCGCGAGAGCGCGCGAGAGCGGGGCTAACGGACAGGATACGCCCCCGGGCACGCCCCCCGGTGCCCGGTGTCGCTCCCAGTGTCCCGGTGCCACTCCCGGTGTCCCGCCGTCTCCCGGCGCTGCGCGGCGTTTCCGTGGCGTTTCAGGACCCCCGGGATGATCGGTGTCGGCTCTGCTCCATCCACACTCTGAGACGCGTGGCAGCGACGGCAGAATTAATTAATTAATTAATTAATTAACCTGTATTGTACACCTCTGCACGGAATACACTTGTATATGTGTGTGTTACACCTGTATATGTGTGTGTTACACCTGCGTATGTGTGTGTTACACCTGTGTATGTGTGTTACACCTGTATATGTGTGTTACACCTGTATATGTGTGTTTCACCTGTGTGTGTTACACCTGGGTATGTGTGTTACACCCATGTGTGTGTGTTACACCCGTGCACACTCCAGCGGGGGACACCGGCACGTTTCCCGGGGAGGATGTGGGTGCCCCAACCCAAAGCCAGGTTGGCCAAAGCCTTGAGCAGCCTGGGATAACGGGACGTGTCCCTGCACATAGCAGAGAGCTCGGGAATACACGATCTTTAGGGTGCCTTCCCACCCCGGCATTCCATAATTCTGTGTCTGAAAATAGGATTTATTTCAAGTGTTCCCACTGCAGGGAGGCTCCAGGGCGCGTTCAGCTGCCGTGCGCGGGGTCGGGGTGTGCCCTGCCCTGCAGGACCACGGGTGATGCTTTTCCTTTTATCCATCTTTTATCCATGTTTTATCCACGTTTTATCCATGCCCGGCTCTCCCTGCAGCTCGATGTCGCACCAGGGCTCCATCAGGAGCCTGTATGGGCTCTTTTATTAAAGCAACATGTTCCTTTATAGTTCTACAGGATATTTACATTTGCTTAACAAACACATACACTGCCCATCAGGCATGAAAAAGAAACAAAACTCTCAATAGGTGTAAAGGAGCCACATCACTCTGTGACCCAATTTTAGTTCATATATTTTTATTTTCTCTCTTTCTTCACATTGCCATGCTGACAGCCTTGGTACCTTCCTCGAGAGAGGAACTTTCCTTATCTTCAGAAAGCCTTTTCTGGCTCACAAGAACAGCACAAAAATGTCTTTCCTGCAGCTCTCCTGCTCCCTCCGGCCGCTGTTTGACCCTTCCAGCCCTGCAGGTTTGGGTGTCGCTGTCGCAGCTGTCGCTCGGGTTGGGGACAGGGACGCAGCTTGGTGGCAGCACAGCACTGGGATCCTGCAGCTGAGCCTTGCTGGAAAGCTGCTGGTGGTTGGTTCCTTTCGTTTCTGTTTTCCGCTGTTCTTAAAAAGCTTAAAGAGCTGTTCCGCTGATCCCTGGGGAAAAAAACCCAAAATTCAACAACCCCCCGCCAAAAACCAACCAAAAAAAAACCCCAAAAAATCCCAAAAAACCAAACAAAAACCCCAAACCAAGCAAAACAAAATCAAACAAACAACAAAAAAATAAAACCAGGGGAAGTGATCTCCAGCAGAGAGCTCTAGTGAAAGAGGAGAACCTGAGGGTCACACAGGCAGCCTGGACCTTCCCTTGGGGCAGCAACAAGTGGGACACCCAGAGGCGTTTGCTGGGCACAGAGAAGCAATCAAGTCCCAGAGTTAAATTCTGCATCTTTTGCTCTGTTTAGTGAAATCAGGTTTTGACTGTTGGGCAGAAGCAGAGGGAGGATGTTTGTCATTGCAGAGCAGAGAATATTCAGGGTTCTGTGTGGAACTCTTGTACTGATGCAGATAAAGCAGAGGCCTCCTGTTCTTTCTGGGATTTTATCCTGAATGCTCCCCTTTCCCCACTGAACACAGGGAAATCTTTAATTCTTTAATATGAGAGACTGACCTAGGTGATTTATCAGCTGCAGGTTATCTGTAATTGTAATTTGGAGGATTTGGGGAAAGAAGATGCCTGGCCAGGCCTTGTGTTCTCCCAGTGAAATGATCTCAGTTCCCCCTCTGTGGATTCCAGAGTCAAGGATGGACACTTGGTAATGTTCCTCTCTCTGTCTCCTATTCTTGTGGTTGTTTTATTTATTTCTGTCCTGTTTGGCTGACCATAAACCCCACAGACCTAATGTGTGTTTGTAGACAGCAGCAGAATAAACAAAGATTTCTCATTCAGACCTTCAGAAGACAAAAGGGCTCCTGTCTCCTTTGGCCTAACCAATATTGCCTGGTGCAAAAAGAACAAACAATCTTTCTCTCCTTTATTTTCTAGTTTCTTCTCTGAATTAATCTCCCTTTATTACTTGGATCCCTTTTGTTGTCCCTCATGGCTCTCAAGGAGGTCAGCTCTTGCAGTGGGTAATGCTATTTTCCTTTTTAGATGTTTTTTCTCCTAAATGCATTACAGGGCCCTGTGATTGTAATTTCCGGCGAGTTCCATCGACCATTTAATTCTTTGCCATCACTGCAGCAGATGCCAAACACATTTGCAGTAATTGGATGGCACTTAAGGGATTAGCCAAGAGTGCCAAGACCCACCTCACCCAAACCACAGCTGGCTTTTTGTGAGTTTCCATGGGAGCCTGGCCGTGTCTGCTGCTAAATTTATTTGCAATCCACATTTTGAATAAAGTGCCCTGTGCAGGAGCCTGCCTGACTTTGTGGCAAGGTTGTGGTGTCTCCCTGAGGGACAGGAGATTGGCAAATTTTCAGAAAATTGGCGAATTCAGGGTGAGGAGCCCCGTGTCCCCAGGCAGGTGAAGGAGCTGGCAGCACCTTGGGGCCAGGTGTGGTGGCAGAGCAGCTGCTGCAGATGTCCCAGAGCAGCCTTGGGACTGCCAGCACGGTTCATGACCTTTCTCTCTGCCTCATGCAAAGGTGGCAGAGGGTTTGCAGAGCCACAGTTTCCTGCTTTCATCTCTGTGGGCCCTCTCACTCATCCAGCTTTGCATTTCTTCACAGTTTTGTGCCTCCCACAGGAGGACAGGAGGTGTTTTGTTATGCTGTTTCATTTGGGGGTGACACCAGCTGCTGGTGGCTTTGTTATACATCAGGAATATCCCAAACTCTGGGTTTCCCTCAGTGTGCTCAGGAGCTGCCAGGTTTGTGGGCAGAGCTGGGCAATGCAGTGAGCTGAGTGTTTGCAGGGGAAAGGGAGCTCAGCTCAGCAGGAGAAAGCCATCAGTACTTCATTATGAAGCACAGGGCACTGGCATTGATGCCTCAGGTTTTACATTTTATATTTTATATTTTATATTTTATATTTATTTTCCAGATTCTCTGCTGCTTTAGTGTGTAGTTCTTAGTTTCATATCAGGGCATGGTGAGCTCTCTGCACAGAGCAGGGACACAAAACAATTCCTGCTCCAGCTGGGTACCAAGGACAAATGATCCAAATCTCAGGCCCAAGAGCACAAACACCATGGGCTGGAGAGAGAAAACCAAGCAGGATGGGACTGCATGGGCTGGAGCTGGAATTGGACAATGAACTCCAATATGCAAATGGAGCAGAACTTAATAAAAGTGAGAGACTCCGTGAGAAGTCGTGCATTTTGTGCCCATTTTGGTTCATCTTGGGTTCATTTTGGGACCATTTTGGTTCATCTTGGGTGCAGCCCTGGCTGAGCTCTTGTGCTGCCCAAGGTGCATCCATTGTGGAGATCCTTTTAATAAATCTCTATTTTATTCTTTAGCTCTGTCCAGCCTCTGTTCTAGGCCAGCCTCCACAAGGCATCAGGGTAAGGGCATCAGAGAGGAGCCATGCAGAGCTTCGCTGGGCTCCAGGGCCTGCTGGGGCAGCTTTTTTTGCAGGATAATTGAATTGCAGCTCTAAAGAGACATTTCCTGTGCTCATTGCAGCAGGCTGAAGAGCTGAGTGAGGCTGCAGTGCCACAGACAGATTGCTTGGGCTCCCCCAGGCCCAGCTTGGCTAAGCTGGGCCCAGCTGGTCTGGGAACACCTGGTTACAGCACCAGGGCCTGGCTCAGAGCACACCTGAGGGGAGCTCAGGGGCCAGGCTGACACTTTTTCCTCTGGGGAGTCAGGTCTGAGCAGCTCCTGCATTTTCCTGTGGCTGCAAGGAGTTCCCAGCTGGGAAACCAGGGTGGGGACATCCCAGGCTCCCTGGCTGTGTCTGTGAGGAGGGTGAAGGAAGGGCATGAAGGGTTCTCCTCAGGACTTCCCTGAAGGAAGGGGATGAAGGGTTCTCCTCAGGACTTCCATGAAGGAAGGGGATGAAGGGTTCTTCCTCCTCAGGACCTGCATGAAGGAAGGGGATGAAGGGTTCTCCTCAGGACTTCCCTGAAGGAAGGGCATGAAGGGTTCTCCTCAGGACTTCCATGAAGGAAGGGGATGAAGGGTTCTTCCTCCTCAGGACCTGCAGCAAGGTAAGAGCTGGCAGAGGTACCAAGCCAGCACCAATTTCATGTCTCTGTGTTACCAAAGAAGTAAATGCTGCTCTGTTGGGTGTATTCAAGAGCAGGGTTTCACCTTTAAATCAGTGGTTAATGTGAATACACTTTTTATTAAACCCCTTCAGCTTTCAGGGTTTGATTCAACACTCTTTTATTTCCCAGTGATGCTTTTATTGTCTGACCTTAGGAGGTGAATTCAGGGCAACACAGCACAGCTCTCCTTGCACTCAGTCTCTCAGCGGTGTTTTATGTGCACTTTTATTAATTTCTCTTACCTGATCCAGTGCCAGCTCCCTCACAGAACAGGGCATGATGGCTTGGTTTCATTAGATGTGCACTATTTTTCCTTCTCCTCTGATCCTCTTCCTCAAGAACTTTCCCTCCTTGGGTAGGGGGAGAGCAGTGGGTGAATGTCCCAGCTAATAATAACAACATTCCTGCACTCTGAATGGGAGATTCAGCACTTGGGGGAGGAACATGGAGCACATTCAAAGGCTGAAAATGGCTCTCCTGGAAATGGAGAATCTGTTCTGCAATGTCAGCACTCTCCCCTTTCCTGCAGACAGCTCTGTGCACTGGGACAGAAGCTCTCCCCACAATTCCATTCCCATTAGGGCTGGGTGTGCAGCTGTGCTGATTGACCCAGCCAAGGATTACAAGAGGAGCTGAACAGAGCATTTGTCTTCATGGGTTCCACACATTTAATTTCTCTGTTCTTGCCTCCAAACTCCTCACCTTCAGCGAGCAGCTCCTACCTGGTATTGCTGATTTCTGTGGCCACGAGCTGAGGTTTGAAGAAACTTCCTCTCCCACCTTTGACTCTCCACCTTGTTTTTCTGCAGATATTTGCTTACAAGCGTGACAAGAACTAAATGACTAATGTAGAGAGCTGACCTCTGCCTTTTCCCTGGTCATTTCCTTGCCAAATCCCCTCTTTCCTTCCTCCCTGTCTCTGCTATTTCAGGCTCTGCTCTGGCGCCTGTTTCTGACACAAGATGGATCTGCACCACTCAAACATTTGCTGCCGGAGATTTTCAGTGCTGGAGGAACATCTCAGCATTTCTGAGTCAGGGTGGGGATCAGTGGGTGCCTGGAGGGAGCATTTGGCACTGGGAATGACCAGGATGAGTGCCCAAAAACCCAAAACCAGCCCTGGTGAATCGCAATGTCCTGTCCAGGGCTGTCTGCCACTGCCTGCAAAGCACAGGCTCTGTTTGGGTGTAATTTAAAGATATTTCTGAGCTGATCTTGAAATCTTTCCAGTGTCAGATGTGACTCTTTCAAATGTCCCTGGGTCAGGGCAGAGGTTGAAAGTTTGATTTTCACAGTCCCTGCAGGTGGCATTAGAGGCTGAGATCAGCTCTGAGCAGTGACAGGTGGAGGAGAAGGAGATGAGGAGCAGCCTGGGCAGGCAGGGATGTGCATCCTGTGAGAATTTGTGAATTATGAGGAGGCAATCACTGTCAGCAGTGTGAGGAATTGAATACAGGTGTGACATGGCAGGAATTGAAGGGGGGAAAAAAAGAGGAAGAAGTTTCAGTTGTGGAGGAGAAATCCTCCCTGGGAGAATTCCCAGGCTGAGAAAACAGCCCTCTTGGGAATGGAGGTTTTTGGGTTTTTTTGGGTTTTTTTCATGGGAAATTCAAGATGTGGAACTCAAAAAGGGAAATACCTTGCACAGAAAATTCAGCCTCTGTCCCTTGAGAAGAACTGAGAGATTCTACATTATTTGCATCTTTACCTGGTGACAATTAGACTTTGGGTTATTTAGTCCCTTGCTATGAACAAAACTGCTTTTGTTTGAACATCCACAAATTCTTTGACAAACCCAGCAGTAGAATTGATTTCCAGGTCAGGGAAAAAAAACCCTAAAACCCAAGGTTGTGAAAACCAGGTGATAAAAACAACACCCAAGAGTGTGCCACAAAGTCCCAGCTAAATTGTTTTTGCAGCTCAGTACAAGTTCAACTTCTGCAACAACAGCATTGTCAGCAAAAATGGAGCTTGTGCTGAGCAGTGTTCTGAGGCACATTTGACACAAATAGAAACTTTTAATTCCAAAACAGCCATTCCACCTGTGCCTCTGCTGGTGCCTCCAAAACCACAAGAAAATATCAGTTTTGCATTCTAATTTTATTTTCATTTCAGTGATCAAATGTGGTTTACACCTTCAGGCCTCGCCTAGAGCAGAACATTTCTCACTCTAGGGATTTATTTTTTTTAACCTGTCTCAGATTAATTGACCTGGAAAATAACTGCAAAGGCTCAGGGCAGCCACCAGGTTTCAAGGAGGTTTGTGTTCTAATTTTGCAGAGAACAAAGAGAGAGAAGAGAAAGGTTTCTTCCCCTTTGCAGAGGAACTCCAGGGATGGCTCTGGGATGAGGGATAAAAGGAGTTCTTCATTCCTTATGATGCTGGTTGTGATTCTCTTGTGATTTGGAGTAACTTCATTAAAAACCAGAACCCTCTGCTCAAATTTGATATGGAATTTAAGGAGGATGAAGGATTAACAATTTCATAAAGCCTGAGACCTTCTTAAGAATGATTTTCCCAAGGAAGGGATTTGTGCCGTTTCTTCATTTTTCTGCCTAATAGAAATAACAGGAGATACAGGAGCACAGTAATTGTTATTGGCAAACAGAGGTCAATTACAGGAAATTATGCTTATTGAAATGAGTTTAGCAGTTGCTGGCTCCCTGTGTAATTCATTCTGCAGGGAGCAGAGGCAGCTGCTGTGTCACTGCCCCTGCCCTGCCGCTGCTCCTCATGACCAGGGTGGAATTGGGGCAGCTCAGGAGCCTCGTGGAGCTGAGATCTGGAGCTTTTCCTGCACTGAGGGACATTTGGGGCAAGGTGAGACAGGCTTGGCTGGGAGCCTCTTGCCCACATTTTATCCTGAGACAAACTCAGGTTTCTCACCCTCTGTGTTTGTTTCCTCATGTCCAGTTCCTGGAAAGCACTGATTTATCCTAAAGCACATGAAGAGTTTATTAATGAGTTACTCAAGTTGGGTTCTGGTGGGAAGGAGTGGGAACCAGGCAGGTTCTCAAGGACTCTGCCTCTCATTGCTCATGCAAACGTGTCAGAAATAAAAAATTTACCCCAATGTATTCATCCTGTAAGGGCTGAATAAAGGCTTTAATCACTGAGAAATGGTGAGAGGCTGTCCCTGTGTCCCCTGGATGCTGCAGAGCTCTGGTGACAGTGACAGCACCCAGGGAAGGGCTGCAGCTGGGTCAGGGTGGATCAGGAAAAAGCTGAGCATCCTCTGCTCCGCCAGGCTCCACAGCCTGCCAGGGCTCCAGGAGCGCTTGGAAACACTGGGTGGGATTTTTGGGCTGTCTGTGCAGGGCTGAGGGTTTTGCTGGCTGGTTCCTGTGGGTCCCTTCCAGCCCAGCCCATTCTGTGCCTGTGTGAGCACTGTGACACACGCTTTGCGCTTTGTGCTATTTAATTCCAAACATTTCCTGAGGGGCAGAAAATGAAACCTGGAGGGGGCCAGGGGCTGTCCCCAGGGATGAATCAGCTGGAAAGCAGCTCAGGAAGGATGTGACAGTGCAGCTGCTGGCTCCTGACTGAGCTGCTGCCGGAGAGCAGCTGAGGGAGGAGGAGGAGGAGGAGGAGGAGGAGAGCAGGGCTGCCGTCTCAGGTTTCCATGCACTGCACGTGTGGGTGGTGCGAGCTGAGCCTGCTCCAGCCACCGAGCGAGCGGGGAGCATGGGGCAGGTGGCTTGGAAGGCTTTATTTCTGTCTCTCTTCGATTATAAAACCGAGAAATACGTCATTGCCAAGAACAAGAAGGTTGGGGTCCTCTACCGAGTGGTGCAGCTCTCCATCCTGGCTTACCTGGTGGGGTAAGAATCACACTCTGCTTCGTGTTTTGCTGTGATAAAGGTGGATTTTGCTGTGATAAGGACGGGTTTTGCTATGATAAGGATATATTTTGCTGTGATAAAGATAAATTAGGGCACTCTGCACACGGTGACAGCCTGATTTCAGTGCAGTTCATCAGACAGGTTTATACAGCTGCATTTTGTAGTGTCTAATAGGTTACGTCTGATTTTTCACCTGCTAGGGATGGCTACATTCAGCTCTACCCTTCAGATTAAGGTTGGGTTAAAAATAGACCCAGTGTCTATGGCTTTGTGCTGCATTATTTATGCCTTTATTTCTATATTTTGTGGGAGTGGTGCCAAACCCTGCTGTGTTACTCCTCAGGACAAAGGAGCATTATCAGCCCTGGTGCTGAGCCTTGGGGCGCACCTGTGTTCTCTGCACAGCACCAGGACGTGCTCAGGTGCAGATGGGAGAGAAAAGCAGAAAATGGGGGATTTCTGTGCTGGACTGGGCTGCAGCAGCCAGGCTGTGGGGGCTGAGGCAGCAGCAGCAGCAATGTCAGCTGCTTTGCATTCATTTCAGAGCAGGGCATTGGCTCAGGGACAGCCTGGGAAAGGCCCACTTCTGTGTGTGACCAGTCCCTGCAGGCTCAGACCTGGAATTACCCACCCTGTGCTGCTGATTCTTGAGTTTCTGAGGCTTTTTAGATGGTGACACCTCACTGTCTATGCTCCTGGTCCCGTCACCTTTCCCACACCTCGTGTTTCCACTGATTAAATATAGCAGAGTCGTTTTTAGGTGCTGGGGGTATTTATAGAAAGCTGTGCAGTCCCAGGGAGCAGAGCAGCTCCCCAGCACTCTGGCACGGGCTGGCTGGAGGAGGAATCCTGTGCAGAGCATTGCTGAGGGAGATACAGCATGGACAGGGCAGGGCTCTGCTCCTCCTCTGGCATCTGTGGCTCCTGCAAACCCCTGGCAGTGTCACTGATGGTCCCTGCAGTGACCCCTCCATGCCTGGGGCTGACAGGAACACGTCCCTGTTCACAGCCTGGCTTGGGGTGGGGATCAGCAAACCCTTCTGGGCTATTGCTGGGATGCAGCTGCCATTGATTCATTGATTCGCTGCAGAAAATGCAGGGATCTGCTTTTGAGCCCTCCTGGGAGAGGAGAAATCAGTGTTCTTGGGGAAAAGGGGAGAGGAGGAAACTCCCCAGGGCGGGTGTGAAAAACAGGGTTGACTCTCCTGTGAAAATGTATAAGTTTAATAACGGACAATAGGAAACAAAGTCAATAAAGCAATTGGTTTAACGGCCAGGTGCCTCTTGGCACTCCACCAAGAGCACCCTGGCCATTTCAGAACCAGCCTTTATGTGCCATTCCTATTGCATCAGCCTGTTGCATGTTAATAAACAATTAGGATATGTTAATAAACAATTGGGCATATTGAAACTTTCTCCCAAACCAGTTAACATGTTCCAAGAATTGTTGAGCAGGGCTCATCCTCAGGGCTGCCTTTTCAGAGCGTCTCTATTCCTTGGTTGTGGTTTCATCATTCTTATCATCACCTCCAGTTTGGGCTTTGGGCCATATTTTCTGTTGATGGTAAGTGCTGACAGTTGGAATATCAATAGCAGGGGTCTTGTTGTGTTCATTGAATGTTATCCCAACACAAAAATACTTCTATCAGCTATTTCATTACTCTAACAGAAATATAAACTATATCTTTATAGCAAAGTTACTTTGACATTATACATATAGCACTCATTTTAATATTTGTGAAAAGCCAATATTATAATATGTATTTATAACAATGGGGAGTGCTCATGTGCAGGTTTGTCACACATGGCAGGTGAAGGGCTGGGTGCCACCAGTGCTGCTCAGCCCCTGTGGGCAGGAGAGCCCTGAAAAGGGGAGCTGTGCCACAGATTCAGCCTCTCTCCCAGCCCTCAGCGTCATCAAGGGTGATTTATTGTCCTGGCAGGTGATTTTAGCAGTGTTGTAGGGGAGCTGGAAGTGTTTCATTTGATCCAGAGGTTTTCACCCAGGGCAATGAAACTCCTGCTGCTTCCAGAGGAGAGGAGGGAGCAAAGCTTTCCCTGGATGGCTCAGCAAGGCAGCAGCTGTCCCAGGGTGCAGCCAGGCTGTTCCCATCACCCTGGCTCACAAAGGAGCTGGATCCAGCTGGGAACATCCCTGCAGGCTCCTGCCAGCTCAGCTGAGGGGTTCCCTGTCCCAGCCTGGTGTGCAGCTCAGGCTCTGTGTGCTGAAGTGAGAGTTCTGCCCTTGTGAACCTGCAAAAGCCTCTCTTGTTTTTCCTCCTGAGAAAGACACAGCCCTGCTCCTCCTTTCCCTTTCTGAGGCTGCTGAGTGTGGCACAGATGGAGCCTTTGGTTTCTTACCTCATGACCTGTTATTACACATTCCTCCACTGCTGGCAAGCACAGCTCGTGTCCAGGACTTTATCCTTTATTAGCAGTGTCAGAGGGTTTGGTGCCATTGGCGTGTTTTGATTTGACCTCGGTGTGAATTTCTCTGTCTGACTCATTCCCTAACGCTGCTGTGTTCACACAGGTGGGTGTTTGTGGTCAAGAAAGGCTACCAGGACACAGACACGTCCCTGCAGAGCTCTGTCATCACCAAGCTGAAAGGGGTGGCCTTCACCAACACCTCGGAGCTGGGGGAGAGGATTTGGGATGTTGCAGACTATGTCATCCCTCCCCAGGTTGGCAAAACCCCCCGTGGGTGCTGAAGGGATCTGTCCAGCTCTTCCCTGTGAATTAGCAGGAGCTGGGATGCAGGAAAGCGATGCTGGAAGGGGTTTTCTGCTGTGAGTTTTTTATTGGAGATGCTGGGGGTGCTCTGCCTCCCCCCAGGACCGTGGGCTGGCTCTCATGGTTGTGTGTGCACCCACAGTGTGAGGGAATTCATCCAAATACCCACACAAAGGGTGGTGGTGTATCTCAGCCTGAAAAGCCCTGGGGAGAAGGGGCTGCTCTCTTCTGAAGAGAGCTTCATGCTCCTTATTTACAAGTACTTTGAGAGTGAACCAAGTTTTCTGACTCGTTTTTTATTGCAGGGTGAAAGTGTCTTCTTTGTCATGACAAATCTGATTGTGACCCCAAACCAGAGACAAGCCACGTGTGCTGAGGTAGGAAGAACTGAGCCCCTTGACCCCCAGACCCCTGCAAAACCGGGGCTAGGAGCTGACAGAGGACACTTCTGGAGCCACAAAGAAAGGAAGGATGAAAGACAAGTATTTTTTCCTGTAGTGTAAAAGCTAATCTGGGAAAGTACTGTAAATCTGGGAGGCTCAGCTGTCTTAACTTCCAAAGGCATTGATCATGCAGAGACTTCCTGACTTTAGGTGGTGTTGAATTTCTGCCCAGCTGGAGATGGGACCAGGCAGTGATTGCTCAGGGTTAGAAAAGGCCCTGGGAAAACAAATTTGATGTGACTCAGGGTAGTTATGGGGAGAGGAGACTTTTTAAGAGCCCCATCCTGGAAAGTGCTGAACATTCAGGCTCTGGTTTCCTCCCAGACACGGGGTGGCTGCTCAGCACCTTCCAGAACACGCCAAAGGCATGAGGTGCTTGTGGAATATCCTCTGTGGAGATGTTTGGAGTGGGCTGGAGCCCGGGGAGGAGATGTGTGGCTGTGCAGGGAGTGCTGTGCATGGAGCAGATGGATTTTTGTCCATGGAGCAGATGGATTTTCCACGTCACACCAGGAGCACAGCTGGCTTGGTCAGGGCACTGCTGTCCTCTGGTGGCCAGGACAGGGGCACATTGGGCCAGAGAATTTTGTGGCTTAGATCCAAGGTAGGGTTATCTTACAGCAAAGTGGCCTCCTGCCTGGTTTTGGTGAAACTAATGTTGGTTTTTCCAGACTGAGCAGAACCCAAAACTGGGAGGGTGTGGCTGAGTGCTGGTGCTCCTGGTGGTGGGATATCTGTGCATGACCCCCAGTTACCACTTCAGCTGCGTGCTTTTAGTGCTCACACAGAACCCACCTCACTTTCTGTGTCTCTGGTGCCCTGTCACACTGTCACCTGTGTCCTTTCCCCTCTGCAGAGTGCCAGCATTCCCGATGCTCTGTGTGACAGGGACACGGACTGCCTGGAAGGGGAAGCAGTGGTGGCTGGCAATGGTAAGGGACATGTCCCTGTCTGAGCTGTGTCTGGTGTCCTTCAGAGCCCTCAGCCTGGGTACAGCCCCCAGATCTCTGACTGCAGAGAGCATCAAGGCCTTTCCTTTCATTTTTCCCCCTTTCGTTTTCCTCCCTTTCCCCCCTTTCCCCGCTTTTTCCCCCTTTCCCTTGTCCCCCTTTTCTTTTTCCCCCTTTCCTTTCCCCTTTTTTATTGAGATCCCTGCCTTGCTCACAGCTTTTTGGTGCCTGGGCCAGGGAACCCCAGGCTGCCCAGAGGCACAACAAGAGGGTGTTTGTTCCAGCTGAGAGGCCCTTTCACAGCAGGGAGGAGAGGGAAAATCCTGAATTCTCACATGCCCTGTGGGCAAGGAGAGGAGGTGCCTGCTGTGTGACCTTTTCTGTGCTGTCTGCTCACAGGGGTTAAGACTGGCCGTTGTTTGAAAGACAGGGGCAGCACCAGAGGGACTTGTGAGATACTGGCCTGGTGCCCAGTGGAGAAAAGATCCAAGCCCAAGTACGTGTCTGCTTTCCAAGCTTGAGCTGCTTGGCTTGTGTGTCACCCAGGGCAGTTCCTGTGTCCCCTCTGCTTGGGTGCTTGCTGGAATGTTGGCTGCTCAGTGCACGAGGGGGCTCTGCAAGGCTCCCCCTGGCAGGACTGGCCCTCTGCTCCCCCTGCTTCTGCTCCCAGCTCTGGGGGTGTCCTCTGGACCTGCATGTCCTCACCAACCCCTTGCTGGCACTGTAGGGGAAGTGGCACAGCTGGCCTGGTGCCATGCAGCCTACTGGATAAAGCTGCTTCTAAATGGCAATTCAAGATTTCACATGTGGGCAGGGGACAAAGAGAACAAACCCTTCTCTTGCAGGAAACCACTTCTGGGCAGTGCAGAAAACTTCACTGTTTACATCAAGAACTCCATTCGCTTCCCCAAGTTTAAGTTCTCCAAGTAAGTGCCACAGCTTCCTGAGCTGCTCCTGCTCAATATATTCCCCCTCCTCCAGAAAAATAAAGTGCCTGGACAAGGCTGGCAAAAAATGCAAATTTAAAAAATATTAGTTTGCTGATGCAATGTGAACAAACTAAAGCAGTGTAGAAATGCGCATGCCCTGGCTCAGATAGGCATTTCTAGAATCATATTGTTTTCCCTTGAGAAAAACAGATCACCCTGGAGCAGTCTGGCAATCTGTTCTGTGTGAGTCCTTTCTTGAGCCCAGATTCAGCTGGCCAGGAGGTCATTTTTGGGGGACAGGCTGCTTTCCCCAGGCCAGCAGCAGAGACACCCTCAGGGAGCACTGAGGCTGTTGGAGAAGCCTCTTGTCTCTGCAGTCCTGCTGCAGGCTCCGAGGGCAAGGAAAGGGGGAGCCAAGGTGGATTTCCCTGTTTCCCACGTGCAGGATGAACGTGCTGGCCACTGACAACGAGTCCTACCTGAAGAGCTGCCGGTACAGCCAGGAGCATCCCTACTGCCCCATCTTCGTGCTGGGCAACATCGTCCGCTGGGCTGGGGGCGACTTCCAGGAAATGGCCTTGCAGGTAGGAGTGCCTGGGGCTCCTGGGTGTCCCCAGCTGGATCACTGGGAGGCTCTGAGAGTCACTGCCCTGCGAGCTGCCTCCTGCACTGCACTGCAGAAGTGCCTAAAGTCAAGCTGGTCCCATTTCTCCTGTCCCCAGGGAATGGGGGTTCTCTAAAAAAGCTGGTTGTGTCTGATGGTGTTCACAGGGGTTTTCAGATGAGGGAAGAGACGAGGATGTTACTCTATATTTCAGAAGGCTTGATTTATTATTTTATTATATATGTATTACATTAAAACTATACTAAAAGAATAGAAGAAAAAGTTCTCATCAGAAGGCTAGCTAAGAATAGGAAACAATGAATAACAAAAGCTTGTGGCTCGGACAGAGAGCCATCTGTGCCATGATTGGCCATTAATTACAAACAAGCACATGAGACCAATCACAGATCCACCTGTTGCATTCCACAGCAGCAGAAAACCATTATTTACATTTTTTTCCCTGAGGCCTCACAGCTTATCAGGAAGAAAAGCTCCCAAGAAAAGGATTTTATAAAAAGATGTCTGCGACAGTTGCGTCACTTATCTTCTATTCAGGGCTGCCCACACTGCTGCTCTGCCAGCAGGGATTATTACTAATTTCAACATTATTACTACAGCGTTGGATTAAACCCAGAACTCTGGAAATCCACCCCTGCATAAAAGATCATCTTCCCCACTGAAGTGTGGAGTGGAATGGAATGAAACCAATGTCCTGGGAGGAGAAACCTCAGGGAGAAGTGGGGTTGTAGAGTGATAATTGGATTAATGTCACACACCTGAACTCAGCCCAGGCAGGAGTGTGTGTTTGTGCCCCCTTGTTTGACCAGAAGTGCAGCTGCTTCTTGCCCCTGGGGAAAACCTGCCCAAGGGTCTGACAAACTTGAAGGCACTTTAACTGAACTAAGCTTAAACAACTCCCCCTGTCTCTCTCTTTTAAGGGTGGTGTGATAGGAATTCAGATTGAATGGAACTGTGATCTTGATAAAGCCCCTTCTGAATGTAATCCTCACTATTCTTTTAGCCGGCTGGATAACAAGTCTGCAGAAACCTCCATCTCTTCTGGGTACAACTTCAGGTGGGTACAGAGGAGGGCACAATGCAGTGCCACAGCTTGCAGGTGCTGGAGGTTGGCGGTGGAGTGGCACCAGCCTGTGCCAGGCCCTGCTGCAGCCGAGCACAGAGCGCTGCAGAGGAGGGAGGGAGGAAGGGAGCGCTCCTGGCAGGCTGAAGCTGGCTTTGATAAGGGAACAGATCTCTCTGAAGGGATGAAAGGCTTCAGATGGGCAGGTGGAATTAAATCCAGCATTGCTGTTTTCCAGGTTTGCCAAGTACTACCGGGATGCTGAGGGGGTCGACTACCGGACGCTCATTAAAGCCTACGGAATCCGCTTCGATGTGATGGTGAATGGCAAGGTGAGGGCCAGGCCAGGATGGGCCAGAGCCTGCAGAGAAAGGAAGGCAGTGGGGGGAGGCAGCTCTGAGATGAGGACAGCCTCTCTGGCTTGTTGTAGGAAAGGGCTTTTCCCATCCATCCATGTGGAGCTGATCCCCATGTAAGAGAGATGACCTGCAGTGCAGCTGAGCCTGCACCTCCTCTACTTAAAACCAGGCTCATGTGAAGCCCGACAGAAATAAATGTGCCCCATAGACTTGTTTTCCATGTGCAAGCACTGCAGAGAGAAAAGAAGCCTAATCCAGGGATGATACAAGCTCAGAAATGCAGCCAGGGACAGTCAGACCTAAGACACACAGACCTTCAGCCTCCAAGATTGCTCACTGCACATCCCCCCTGGTTGTGACTGGGAACAAAACACGCCCAGGGGCAGCAGCAGCTTCCCCAGGGCAGTGCCACACCCTTGGGTTTGTTTTGTGGGTTGTTCTCTCAGTAGTGACTTCATGACCTTTGTTCTTCCAGGCAGGGAAATTTAACATCATTCCCACCATTATCAATATCAGCTCGGGGCTGGCACTCATGGGAGCTGTAAGTGAATGTTTTGTGTTATAGTAACCCCAGGAGACCCAGATTCCAAATGGGATGAGAATGGGATGGGGGTTTTAAACCTTCTCCAGCAGAATCTTTACTACTCAGATTACTCAGCCAGGTGTGTGTCTGTATCCTGTCTTAAAAGCATTTGTTAATAAACCTGGTAGTCTAAACACCCCCACAGGCTGTATATTATATATACAAACCCTGGAGAATGAAGGAAAACACTGCTTCTACAGTGTTTATAAATTATTATTTAATTAATGTTTATTTCTAATGACATCAGAACACTTCATCTTCTGTTTCAAAGATTAAACACAAGTTTTATCCCTTTGCAGGGAGCTTTCTTTTGTGACCTGGTGCTGATATATCTGATCAAGAAGAGTAACTTTTATCGAGGCAAAAAGTATGAGGAAGTCAAGTAAGTGGGCCTAGCTTTGTGTTAAAAATCATGGCTTTTTGTAAAGAGAGATAGAAATAGGAGGAGACACAGGAGCACAGTTCCAGGGAAATATATTCTTCCAAATGATTTTGGCCAAGTTACTGGCTTCCTCTGTAATTCCTTGCTGCAGTGAGCTGGGGAGCACAGGCAGCTGCTGTGTCATGGTTGGACTGGCAATGGCCTCGTGCTGTTGGTCCCTCATGACCGAGGGTGGAATTGGGGCAGCTCCAAGAGCCTCGTGAAACTGAGATGTGGAGGGGCCTTTGGGTAAGGTGAGACAAGCCTGGCTGGGAACATTTTTGCCTCCTGAAACAATCCCAGGCTGCTCATCCTGTCCCTGTGCCTGTTTCCCCAGGTCCAACTCCAGGAAGTCCCTGTCGAGCCCTACGCTGAACGGGAATCAGAGCCCGGAGCAGCTCGATGGGCTCTAGGCACAGCAGAGGCTCTGCCAGCTCCAGGAAACCCACACAGGTGTGGCACCACACCAGCACTGGGAGGTGGACATAGCCCAGATCAGGCCTGCTATGATCAGGATTCCCAGAGGAAAAAGCCTTCTCTAAAGACTGCCTTTCTTCCCTGAGATTTCTCTGGGATCCTGAGCTTGCAACACGTGTCGTCACTATGGATTTATAAAAGGATTTTTATAAAAGGACAAAGAAGGCACCAAAAGAATGTTTTTATACCCACTGATAGATATATCTGTACTTATGCCAATAGCCAGTGTTGTCCTGTGGCTGTGCTTTGCTTCCATGTGGAGAAAAGCTGCGATGGGAGCACTTTGGGAAGGGCTGAAGCTGAAACCCAACTGTGGCAGCCACCGCCTCCAGCTCCTGCCTGGGTGATGCTGTGACATCAGGCGTGAAGCAGCAGGACTGCTCTGCTCAGGAGATGCAGGGAAATGTGGCACTGGAGCTGGGGCTGTGATCCTGCAGGGCCTGAGGCAGGGGGGACAGTCACAGCTCCTGCCTCCTGTGCCTGCTGTCATTTGCTGGGGACTGTCCTCGCTGCACCACTGCCTGATTTGTCATGCTGGGCAGGTCTGGATGGGCACTCAGTGCCTCTGTTTCTCACAGCACCCTGGGCTGTGCTGCAGACTGAGAGGGGCAGCTCTGCCAGGGCCACGGCCTCCTCCAAACCCACCAACAGCAGGGAAAGTTAGGACATATCTGCCTGCTACTGCAACAGCAGTGACCTCCAGGAAACACAAGTGCTTGTCTCAGCAGAATCACTCTCCCTGCAGCCCATTTTGTCCATTTATCTCATGTGAGGATGTAACCAATCTCAAAAAAGGGCTTAAGGAATTTCATTGTGTTCTGTACATGCTGCTCCATCACCACAGACTGGGAGCTGTACTGATGAAGATTAAATGTTTCTGTGCATGCTTTGAATACCAAAAGATAAATATGCTCCTGCTGCAGCATCTGAGGGTGGCATCAGGGAGCTGCTGCCATCGAGTGTCTGCACAAATGGCACCAGCAGCTGTACCCACCTCTGCTTCAGCTTCTTTAAGGTTGTTACTCTGATGTACATGTTCATCCTAAATTAAAGTTCACTTGTTAGTGGCAAACTCTGAACCCAGTCACTGACAGCAAACCCCAGCCAGTCTAGTTCCTCCCCTCTGCTTCTGTGTAGGGACCCAAAAATGGGGCTAGAAAATAGAATTAAACACTGGAGTTCATTTAGGATAAACTGTGTACCTTTGGTGCTCTGATCTCACCCAAAACTTTCTCTCCATGTCAGGAGTCTCTCCTCAAGGCAAACAAGAGTCACCACATAGGAAACTGCACAGGAGCTCCCACCAGGCTTTTGACTGCCAGGGTTTAATTGGAGTTGAGCAATTTCTAGATGGTGAAACACAGAGTGAACCCCCTGTGTGCCATCAGGGCCTGGCACAATTCCTGGCAAGCAAGCAGCTCTTCCTGACGTGCAAAGCTGACTGTGCTCTGCTGAAACCATTGTCTGAACTTGCCAAAACATCCTCCTGTGAGAGGACCAAAGCTATTTCCTGAATCTAAGTCTCCAGGCCTCCCAGATCCCCTAGAATGTTTCCTTTCTTTAGGCTCTGTAACACAACTCCTACAACCCCTGCTGTTAATAAAACATAACCAGATTCCTTCTCAGGAGCTCGTCTCTTGACTTTGACTCTTTTTTTTCTCCTTGTGTTTCATATTCGGCAATAAACTGTGTCACTTTAGGCCAGTGCTCCCTGGGAGTGCTCTGTAAGTGTTTTTTTCAGGTCAAACCACCTGGTGTGGTGATAGTGATGTGAGCAAATCAATGAGTCACTTATTTTGGCAGGAACAGGGCTAGAGGAAAGGCATTACCTGGATGGTGGGTGATGGATTTATCCCCTTTTGTGGCTTTTCTGGAGATCAGTGACAAGCACCTGTGCCAGTGCCATTTACTGATGGCAATAAGGGAAGAGAACATTTGCATGTATGTTTCTGCACCAAACCTTAACACCAACTTAATTATTTTCTTGTGTCAGTGGAATTATTTTTAAATAATTTCATTATTTCAGGGTGCTGTGTTACTACTCCAATATTTGTGTGTAGCACATCCAGAGGGGATTGTAATTGGTGTGTGTATCCAAACCACCAAGGATACAAGGCACTATATCAATCAAACCCCACAGCCGTGCCTGCTCTTAGGGACAGAAATTATCCTTTAAAAAGAAAACAAATACAGGAGCCATCCAAACGGTGCTTCACATTCAGTTTAATTAGAACAGTGCTACTGATTAATTCGTACTTGGACATAATTTACCAACAGCATTAACGACACGAGCCACGGACAACAGTTTGGAAAGTGAGCTGGCCTACGGTGTAGTGACTTTTGGCAAGAGTCCTGCAGCTCCGGCAGCGGCGAACATTCCGTGCATCAGTACACGTGAACCATTCCGTACAGGAAAGTCCAGAACAGGACGTAAGTGAAGAGCCCTCCCACGAGCCCTCCCGTGAACAGCGGCCTCCGCGACTTGAAGTACTTGTTCCACCGCCGGCCGGCCTTCAGCACCAGCAGCACGGACAGGAGGACGGAGGCCAGGAAGTAGAAGATGAAGCCGTGCAGGCCGGTGAGGCCGAGGATCCCGGCCGTGGCTCCCGACAGCGCGGACACCGAGGTGCGGCAATAGTCCAGGATGGCCGCGTTGCCCCGCACCGCCGCCTCGCTGATGAACTGCGGCCCCTCGCGCTTGGCCACCACGGCGGCCATGGCTCCGCGCCGGGCTCGGGCAGCTCCTCGCTCGCACCGACACTGAGGTGAAGCAAACACGCGCTGTACGAGCCCGCCCGGCCTCCCTCAGGCCGCCGGGAGAGCCCCGCGGGCCCTCCCGCCCGTCCTCCCCTTCCTCCGTACCTCTCATCCACGGCGGCGCGCAGCCCCGCCGCTCCGTCAGGCCTCGCAGCGCGCCGAGGGTCCCCGCACAGCGCCCGTCACCGCGGGCCGCCCGCCGGGCCCGGCCCGCCCCGACCGCGCCGCCGCCACCGCCCGGCCGCCATCTTGGCCAGGGGAACGACGGGATGCGGCCGAGCGGGCGGCGCGCCGTGGGCGGGCGGCTCCGGATTGGCTGGCGGGGAGAGAGGGGCGGGGCCGGATTGGCTGGCGGGGAGCAAGGGGCGGGGCCGGGTGAGGCGCTTTTGTTCGGACGGCGGCGGCGACGGGGCGGACATGGCGTTCGTACCGGGACAGCCGGTCACCGCCGTGGTGGTGAGCGGGCACGGGAGGGGCGGGCACGGGAGGGGCGGGCACCGCCGTGGTGGTGAGCGGGCACGGGAGGGGCGGGCACCGCTATTCGGGGGATGCCGTGCCGGGGGCTGCTGGCGGGGATGGGGAGGGGAATGCCGGTGGTGCCCGGGGGCCGCTGGCGAGGATGGAGGGGGGGATGCCGGTGGTGCCCGGGCGCTGTCAGCGGGCGGAGGTGCCGCCCCGGGGCAGCTCCGGTTCGCGGGTGTGTGGAAGGAGCGGGAGAAGGGTGTGTGCCAGGGACGTGGACACGGTGTCGGTACCGGTGGCGGCCGGCAGCGCCCTGCGGGCTGTCGGAGGGCGGAGGTGCCCGGGCAGCCCCGGTCCGCCGGCGAAGGGCGCGGCCGCTCGGTCCGCAGCGCCGCCGGCCCCGGTTGCCGCTCCCTGCTGTCAGATTGTCCGTCCGCGATACCGGGTGGGAGAATGGAGGGGAAACTCCGCCGGGCGGAGGGACCGAGGCTGCTCGAGAGAAGAGGGAGGGAACCCGCCGTTCTCCCGGTACCGGGACCATGAGGATCCCCCTCTGAGGGCAGGATAAGCACCTGCGTGTCTGGGTGCGGTTTAGGAAGCAGAGCTTCACAGTGAGATAATGGCTTTAATCAGCGCGCAGTGCGAGGGAGGGATTCTGTGCCTTCCCCTGGCTGTGCCTGCGTGGGTGCTCCCGCTGAGGACACGGATGTTTGGAATCCGGGGAGTTTGGAATTCAGCGGGGCAGTTCAAGGTCTGTGTGACAGGGCTGTGAGGAGGATCACTGGATGGTTTGGCTTAGAAGGCACCCGTGAAGGTCATCACATCCACCCCGCTGGAATGAGCAGGAACATCTTCCATTAGAGAGGGTGGAAGCACCTTTTGAGAGGTTTTTTTGTCAGTTAAGACCGTGGCTTTTCGCCCTGGCTCAGGAATTGCAGCAGCTGGCATTTCTACAGTGCTGACACAGTGCACAAAGCTGCTCGGATGCCTTTGTGCATCGGGCAGTGAGGAACCTGCCCCGGGTTACAAAAGTTATCCTGAAAAAGAACCATCCTAATAATAGGTTGTTATTTCTGCTGATAGGGCTAGCAAGAACATAAGGCATGTGGGTAATGAGCAAGATGAGGCTGGGCATGAGTGACTGCTGCTTATCAAGGCATGAGTCATGTTTACAGAGACCTGCTCTGGTTTTAGTGTTGTTCCTTTCTATTTCTGGGCAGGCAGGAGAGCTCTGAGTAATTGAGGGGCTGGGCTGTGTCCTGGGATATCTGTGAAAAACAATCTGACTGGATCTGAAGTACCAGTGTCTGAAATGCACTTGAAATTTCTTCCACTCGTCACAATGCTCAGCTATTTGATCTCTTTCTCTTTCCAGCAAAGAATTGAAATACATAAGCTTCGTGACGGTGACAATTTGATTCTGGGATTCAGCATTGGGGGTGGCATTGATCAGGACCCTACTCAGAATCCTTTCTCTGAAGACAAGACTGACAAGGTCAGACAATCTATTTCTGTAGCAATTCCCTCTACCAAAGGCTGATATACCCAAATCTTCACCTGCCCTCTATCATAGCTACCCTCTGCTCCATTATCACTTGCAGGCTGAGTTATTTAAGTGAATTCTCCACCTTTTCTATTTTCCAGCACTGCATAAGCCTGTTTTTAACTAAAATCTCCTAATACACTGTGGAGTTTTTTCGTGTTGTCAGTCAAATGGCTCTTGAGTACTAAATCCTCCCACATTTAGTAAATGAACTCTCCATTTTTTTTCCAGGGTATTTATGTAACAAGAGTGACAGCAGGAGGCCCAGCAGAAGTTGCAGGACTCCAGGTTGGAGATAAGATCATGCAGGTAAGCACCAAAATAAGACAGTACTGCTGTAGTACCAGCTGCACAGTGCAGAGAAACATCTGCTGGGGAAAATAATCTTCTGGGTACTTCCCAAGATAGTTTGTGGGGTTTATTTATAAACTGAGCTGTGGCATAACCATAACCACTATGTGGTTCTGACAGAACAGTCACAGGACACCTGTGAGTCCCTGAACCTGCCTTATTTTAGGTTTTTTTTCCAGGTGAATGGCTGGGATATGACAATGGTGACCCATGACCAGGCCAGGAAGAGGCTGACCAAAAGGAATGAGGAGGTGGTCAGGCTGCTGGTGACCAGGCAGTCCCTGCAGAAGGCTGTGCAGCAATCCATGATGTCCTAATCCATCATCCAGCTGGGGAGGGGGTGGGAGGGAGATCTATAGACTGGTATCAAAGAAAGAAGCAACTATTAGACTGGAACAGGTTGTGTGGAAGGAGTGCATGTTCCTACCTGTGGTAAACACTACTTTTTTTTATTTTAACTTCTTCTGGTGTAACTGGCAGTAGTAAAATAATACTCCCCTCAGCAGAGTGCTTCTCTAAAGTCTGCCCTGCAGGTACATGGCAAGACTTCTGTGGTCATGGCTTCCAGGACAGGACAGACCCAGGTTATCTAAGAGCAACTGGAAAAGCCTTAACTTGGACAGGATTCTTCTGTAGCACAAAAGCCTCCTCTTTTAGGAGGAAATGTGGTTTCTGCTATGGGAGACCCAAGGGTTTGCTGTGCCTAAGCTTTTAGAAGGGAGCTGTCCTGTCCCTCACAGTGCTACCAAATTGAAATGCCAGAGTTGAGAGCTGCACAGTGCTGTGGGGAGGAGCACTGTACTAATCAATCACTGTGTGCAAGATAGAGAGTGGCTGAAGGGTTTGGGGCATTGCAGTGTCCTGCAAAGATTCCCTGGATAAAGCATCCACTTCAGGCAAGGAACAACTGAGGAACACACAAGTGTTAGCTCAATGCCTGTGAAATACACTACAACTTCATGGACACTACAGTTCAACCGCACTGCCAGGGTAAAATCTGAATTCTTGTTCCCAATTTGTACCATCAGATGAATTGAGTTTAATTTAAGGCAATATGGAGCAGGAAACAAAGCAATGTTCCTGAACTTACCAGAAATGCTGCTTGTAACTGTAGTGTTTTCAGTCCTTCATTCCACTTCTATCAGACTTGAAATGGAAGGGATTTTGGTTTGTCTTTTAGAAGACTTTGCTTAAATCAGTGATTTGCTTAAATCAGTGATGGAAGAGATGAATATGCCGTAATTTTGCAGAAGTGCCTCTTGACCAAATTTAAACTTCTAGTGGGACACTAAAGTGGTTTAAATCAACATGCCACAGGGCTGAAGATCCTTGCTGCAACACTAAGTCCATGATCTAGCATCCTGTGGTTTGTTAGCCAGTCAGCTTTACAGTTACCCAAAACCTGGAGTTTTTAATCCTCTTCAGTTGATCTAGACATATCTATAGTTTCCTTAAGCAGTCTTGGGGTAAGCTGTTGTAAATAGAGCACGAGGAAGTGGCAGACTAATTTATTCAGTACCTGACTGCTGTGCCATGGACCTTGTGATTGATGCATCTCAGACTGTTCTGTGCACACCAGCAGATGCCTACTTACCAATTTTGTATCTCTGGAATTACTACAATCCTGCTTTGGAATTTTGTTACTTAAGAATTCAGTAGTAAATTATAAATCTTTCAAGTTGGAGTTATTTTTGTTACTATAAAGATACACTGCTATTTGTACTGCTTTTTTTCACTTGATTTTACACAATAAAACAAAGTTGGTTTTCCTGAGCTGTTTCTCCTTGCATTTAATAGTGCCACATCACTTGGGTGCCTCTAGCTGTGACCATTTTTGGCTCAAGGGTGGATTTTGGAATTACTGAGGTCAGTAAGGTCTGGTTTCACTGGTGGGGAACTGTCAAACCTCACCTGGGATCTAGAAAGACACATTAGGTTCTAAGCATTCAAGTATAAATGCACAGATTCCCTTCTAATTACTTGTCTTAGCATCTTTGAAAGAGCTTTCAGTGAAAGAAGAATACAGCTTCTGGTTTTTAGGAATTTTTTTAATAAAGAGTTCAAATTGTAATATTTGTGCATTTGTTACCAACTCCATTATTGTGACGTACCACTGTGGCCAGCCTGAGTGGTGGTGGAGTGTGAGCTGTCTGGGAAAGGTCAGCAGCAGCACTTGGATCCACAGACAGTCTTCAGTCATTACTTAAAAATATGAAGTGGTTGCTTAAACATCATCTCAGATTTTTGGAAGACAGAACTCTGCTCTTTGTGCTTCACCTCCAATCAGAAAGACATCACTTTGGTCTTTCTCTTCCCTGTGGTTGGTGAAAAAAGAGCCATGTGTTGCTTGGACAGCTCCCTCTGAGCTGTGTGTGCAGCTCCTTCAGGCACGAGTGCCCCGTGTGCAGCTGAGGGCTTGCTGTCCTTAAGGCACCTGGCAGCCAGTGCTTGGCAAGGCAACAGTTTGTGTTTGTGTTCCAGCCCAGAGAGGATCAGGTCACAGATATCAGAATCAGCATTTCTGGTAACTGGCAGCAAGAATCTTGAGAGCCCTCAGAGAGGGCAGGGCCAAGTTCAGTGTAAAGTTTGAGTCTCCACAAGGGATGTTTGTTATTCACAAGGTTCATACCCTCGGCTCCTGTACAGGCAGTAGTGCTGGGCCATGAAAACAATGTCAAAGATGATGGAGAAGACACCCAGGCCAAACTTGGTTGGATCTCCAAAGATTAACCTCCACTCATCTGTCAAACAGAAAATCAGAGTTAAGTCTGACTCCTCAAGTGTAGTCTTGTCTTAAGACCCTTTAGAGAAGTTCATGTTTATTACCTGGACTGCTCAGACAAACCCAAGACTAACTGCAGTGCACTTCTTATGCAAAGCTAATTAATAACTGTGGTTTCTTCAGGATGGCTACTTCATTTTATATCTTGAGGGAATATGAAAGATTCTTTAACCTTCCTGTAAGAACAGCTCCCCACAACACAGCACAAACATTCTTCTGAGATAACCTGCTTTATATCTGCTTTGTAGTGGGACTTCCCACCCCATTAGGACAGGCTCCAGCACCTCAGTTCCAGGCTTACCATTGTTGTATGACTGCAGAAACATCTGGAGAAGGCTGAAGCTTCCCCCAGTGAAGTCCAGTAACACATTTCCAATACTCCATCCCTCAGTGCTCTTCCGACGGAAATTCATGTAGGCCTGGGGGTGTGACAAGCAGTCAGAGTGTCATGTGCAGGATTTGGGATTGACTTTCAAGCAGTTTTCAGTACAACTCTACTGGTTTGTCACTATTAATAAATAATCATTGGTGGTTTAGTCTCTTCAGACTTTCAAGAGCACACACTGCAGGCTTAGGGTGGCAGGGATATGGAATGCAAGCAGAATAATTCAGATTTACCTGTGGGAAGTATTTGATCAGTGTGACTGCTAACTTAATGTAGGAGAAGCAGAACAAGAACTGCAGCCATGTCATCACCTCAGCTGCAGCCAGGAACAGCGTGGTGAAGGTGAAGATCCATGCAAGTGCCAGGAGTCCAACAACAACTTTGGATACTTTCTGACCTGCTCTCTGAAACACAAACACAGATACATTTTGGCCAGGTCACACATCCCCAGACACAAAGATACAGTTTGCTCAGGACCCTGCAGCACTACAGTCCAAACCTGTTTTACCAGTCAGGCTGGTACCACAAGGAGAACTTTAAAATTAAGCAAGTGCTACAGCAACCAGCTGGAGGTTTGCAAGAGCTGATGAGCAATATTCATACCAATCATTTAAAACAGTGCTGTCCCTGAGCAAGGGGGAACAGTATTCTTGAGTATTTATGGTGCATAATCTGTAACAAAGCTCCAAAATTCAATCTGATGAGATCTAGAGTTGCTGTATGTGCAAAAGGCTGATAATATTATTATGGTAAAAGATTTATGGTTGCTTTCTAATTCTTCACTAGAAAATTCTGTACTAACTGTCAGTGATGACAGATGGGCTGTTACAGTTTTAGATTTGGCATGACCAGAGGAAGAAGCCAAACAGAGAAACAGTTACCATCTAGAGAACATTGGCCTGTTCACATGAGAGGTTTTTACAATGAAAATCAAACAAAGAACCACCTGACTGGCACAATCAATGGGATTAAGTAAGAATCACTTGACTGTAACAATCAGTCTCACTTGAAAAGGTGTGAATTATGAAAGGGCATTTACAGCTGTTTTAGGAAAGCAGCTGAAAAAAATGTGTTTGAATTGCAGGGAGCATCTAAAGTCCTATCATAGCTTGAAGAATGCTCCAAAGAAACAGCAAAGCATTTGTGCTGTGAAGAGCTGTAATCTGTGTGCTGGCTAGAGATCTGTTTGGGAACTTCATGAACCTGGCTGTTTGCCTCAGTTATTTTGAGTCCCTAAGGAGTTTACTTATAAGCTCAGAACATCCATGAAGCTGAAGTAGATAAGTTTAGTGGAGGTGCTCCTAGCTCAGGAAAGCTGAAGGCAGCTGGGCTGCGAAGCCTGGCTCCTGGAAAGGCCGGTGGAAGTGCAGGGAATTTGGGATTTTTGGAGCCCAAATGGAGCAGGGAGGCGCCCGGCAGAGGGAGCTCTGGCAGAGCCCACAGGTGAGCCCAGCACCCGCACCCACCTCGTAGATGCAGCACTGAATGATGGTGAGGAGGGTCAGGGCCACTGCGTGGAGACTGAAGAAAACATCATTGATGGCCACAGGGTTCACCCCGCTGGGATAACTGACCAGGAACTCCTCCTAAAGGTAAGAGAAAGCAAAACCAGGCACGAGTTTTAACTCCCTTCTGCACATACCCACCCCCCAGCACGTGTTAAGAGAGAATCATGCTCACCTTAATCAGGGGAATCCAGAAGAGCCCAACATTAAACACACTGTATGCTATAAAGCCAGTAAGGTTTAGTGCTATGAAGTCAAAGCTTAGTCCAACAACACTAGAAAAGGGGGGGGAAAAAAGAGAAACGTGCATTAGAGAGTTACAGGCAGTTCCAGGGACAAACTGACCCTGGAATGTATTGATTTATAACAGTTTCTGGTGTAAGCAAAAGCTTCAGGCATTGTGACCACACAAAGCTGTGAGTTCATCAGGAAGCTGGGTGAAATAACAGAGCTCTCACGGATCAATTTGTGTCTCTGCTCTTTAACTGCATCCCTCCATGAGCTCAGCCTGTCTGATAAAGCCCTTCCAGCCTGAACCCATAAAGCACAAGTGCATCATTGCCAGATCAAATGGTTTCATTCTCATATATGATAATGCTCCTACTTAGAGTCACTTGGCTCAAGGGGAGCTGGCCTAATGTGACACTATAAGGAGGTGTCTGAGAAACAGCTCTCAAGGCTGGGAATCTTTGACAGAGATCATCACAGCTGCCTCAGCCAGCTGATTTACAACATGGCACCAAAAGGAATGGGGAAGTCTCCTCTATCACAAATTCACACTGGATGCCAAATCTTAGGATCAGGTGTTTGTAGGATGCACTTGGTTTCCCTCCAACCTGCATGTATAAAATCTCACTGGGGCTGCAATTATTCAGACCCTGCCTTTGCCTTTTCCCCACCTTTCCATGGATAATTCCCAATAACCAAGACAGATGTGGCTGAAGCTATGAACATGATTTGCAGAAGTGCTTTAGTGACTTGCAAACACATCTCTTTACCTTTTCCTTCGCCAGTTCTCAAAGAGTTGAGGATAGAAGGAGATGGACCAGGCAACGAAATAGATCCAGCCAATCACCTCATCAGCATATCTCACTATGATGCTGTGAATCACTTGAAATTGAATCCTAGGTCTGATGATTAATGCAAAAAGTATCAGTTAATTAAAGCTTTTTTCACAAGATTTTATTTTGTTCTGTTCTGGGAGAGGAAATAGAGTCCAGGTGTTGAGACAAGACAATAAAGATTCGCTTGGGTTCAGCTGAGTTCCTCCCCTTTTCATTTGTGACTTTGTTATGTTTGGGACACCTCCTACTCCCCGAGTCTTTCCTTTCCATCCTTTTACCCTGGGAATGCTCCCAAAGGTCACTTTGTGCCTGTGGCTTCCCCTCTCTCAGCACAGGGTCTATTAGGCAAGAGCAGAGCTGCATCCTCACCCTCGTGATGGGGCTGCCCTGTGAGCATTCCACGTGCTCGCCTCTGCCTCGAGTTTCAAAAGCAGAAGCAAAACAAGGAAGTAAAACAGGAGCACTCTGCTGCTCAGTAATATCTGAGCCACAAGCAAGTATAGTCCAGCTTTCTCCATGTGGCTGGGCTCTTCCCAAGAGGGACAACTGGCATCTGTGAGGAGAGGGCTCCCCTAACTGAGACACCCCAGGAACTCCAGAACAAATCCTGCACAGCAAGAGCAGCATCCCACTGGACACTGACAGCCAAATGCTCCCCAGAGCAGAAAAGCTGGCATGTGATCTCCATATTTTTGGGAGGCACTATTAAAACCAGACTAAGGAGCTGTGAGAACTCAGCTATCTTGTAATTAAATCTAAGACACCACTCTGCTTCTGTGCCCTCTGTTTATCTGAGTACTTGGGGATTTGCTGCAGGGTGACCAATCTCCTTAACTGCATCCCACCCCTGTCCCATTTAACTCCTAGGAATAGTTACCCCAACTTTTAGGAAGCTACAGGACAGTAAATAGAACAAAAAAAACTGTTTCTCACCCAGTTAAGTTGGAATTATTTGGATAAAGGTAAACTGTTACTTGTCCCACATCATCTGCTTTCACTTGGAACTCTGCTTGAGTGTGACCTGCAGGGAACTGTACCTGCAAGGCAGAGCAGAGGGAACAGAGAGGAGTTGCACCATAATAGCAGGACTTGTAACCTTTTTGCATATGGTTACAAGTCTATGCTCTCACTTACCTCATCAGGAAGTTCAACAATGGTGCTGTGCTTTGAGGAGTGTGTAATATTAAGAGTTATCACCAGTGTCTCGTTTAGTGGAGCCCTGAGAAGGCAGAAAAAACAAGTTAGGCTGGTACCTGAGCTCAGGGGTTGCTTTGGGGCTGCAGGGGAGCATCTGCTCATTCCTCTCAATGACCAGCCCACACACAACAGAAACTGCCTCACACTCAGAGGAACCAGCACCAAACTGGGTGATATTGCACTGGTTCTTTTATCTGATCCAGTGATGGCCACACTGTACCTCCCTCTTCTCAACACAAATGGCAAAGTCACCAAAAGACCCTGTCCTATCCTGTCCTGTCCTGGTGCTCATTACCCTTTGCTGAAACAGGCACATGTACTTGGGGTCATGAAATTACAGCAGAAAGACAAAACAGAACAAACAAAACCTTTCCAAGTGACACAGTCCTGCACAGCTTTCCTAAAGAACTCCACTGAGCGTTTGTCCAGGACGTGATCCTTCTAGGAAATGCAAGTTTCTCTTAAGCATCAATTTTTAGAAAGGGAGGAACTGTAAATTCACTTATGGAGGGCAGTCCATGTTCCAAAGGGAAAGTAAAGCTGCAATAATAATTTTACCTCAGAGAGATAGTGACGTTTGTTGAACTTCCACTTTCTAGAGAAACCACTTCAGGGACTGACAACACAACGGCTCCATCTGTGGGGGGGAGAAAAACACCCGCACAAATCTCAATTACTATGAACAGCTCCTTGAGAAGAACAACCTACTTTTTTTGTGCCATAGACATTTTACCCATTGGTCCCTGCAGTATCAGATCAGTCAGATAAGTTCACACAATAAAAAGCAAAGGGGGAAACCAAGCAACTTAAAAAGAGAAGTAAATAACTGTCACTTGAACATGTTGCAAGGAAGTAATTTAAATGCTTGAAGTGTAACCAAAGTTCATGCCAAGGGAAGGTTAAAAGGTACTGCAAACCCACCTTGGTTCTTGATGTGATCCTGGTGATCTAGGAGTCATAAATGCCCCAAATTTAATAGAAAATTGTTTCTTGGGCCACAAATTCAATCCAAGTGCCCAGATGTGCAAGAGAATGTACATTTACAGAAACAGAGAGAGACACAGGTTGGAAAGATTGGCCTGGACACTTTTTTTTCCTGTTGCCACATACTACACAGTGTTTGTAAGAACTTATGTGCAGAGGAGCTCACAGTTCATCATTGACTGCACCCCAGGCACTCCTCAATCTGCAGAAGTGATTTTGGAGCACGAGGTGCACAACCTCAGCACAGTGTAGGAGCACAAGAACCCGAGGTAAGGAATGAGAGCAGAGCTGATGTGAAGCATGGCACGAGTATCCCTGTAAGATGTAATGGGATAACTAAAGAGCTGCCCTTTTCCATCTCTTACTGCTCCGGAGCCCTGTGGGCCCAAGCTGGGCTGACCAAACACTCACCGCCAGGCCCCAGCAGCGCCAGCGAGAGGCTCAGCAGAGCGGGGAGCAGGTATCGCGTCCTCATGGTGGAAAAGCTGCGGAAAAAGCAGGGAGAAGCTTTCCTCAGCACCTACACGGCCACACAGCCCATCCCCTCCGCTGGGAGCCGCGGCAAGCAGCTCCCTCCGCAGCACCACGGCCCCCAGCCCGGCCGAGAGACCCTCAGCTCCCCTCGGAGGGCACCGCTCTCCCCGTCCCGGCCACATCTTTACCTCAGCGCTGCTGCCGTGACGGACCCGCCCCACCCCAACGCGCGGGACTACAAATCTCGGCAGCCCCCGCGCCCCCGCCAGACCCTCGCTGCTGGCGGCGCGCCGCGGTGCACTCTGGGACTTGTAGTCCTGCCGCCCTTCCTCCGGCGCTCCGGCGAAGCGGGGTGCGCGGTGCTTTGGAATGCGCCGCTGCCGAGGCGGCGGTACCGGGGAGCGGGTGGCAACCCACCCCCTTCAGTGCCCCGCGTCCCGGTTCTTCCCTTTTCAGATCTCACGTGAGGCGATCGCCTGTGGACTCCCCGCCCAGCGCCCACCGCGTCGCTGCGGCCGCCCCCGGGGGCCATCTTGGGTGTGGCGGAGCGGGTTCATGAGGGGGGCAGAGCCGTGAGCGGGGGGTAGGGCGGGCTGTATGCCGTGGTGGTTTGGTTAGGATAAAAAGCGTGATTTAAAGCAGCGCAGGTTAGCTGGGGAAGGGGCGCTTTGTCACTGTCACAGTGGAGGGGTAGCGACTGGGGAGCGCTGAGGGCAGGGAGCACCTTCAGCCTGAGGGCGAAGTCCGGGTCGCGCTCCTGCCCCGTCCCTGAGAGCCCGCAGGGCGGCACCGGGAGCCGTGAGGGGCTCAGCTTGGTGGGTGTTGTTCCGCCTGTGACAAGGTGACAGCCATCCATCCCCTCATGGCCGCGGCGGGCGGGCCCGGGCCCACCTGTGTGCTGGGCATTGACCTGGGCACGACGTCGGTGAAGGCAGCGCTGGTGACAGGGACAGAGCGAGGGCTGGCGCTGGCACAGAGCTGCTCCAGGGAGACGCAGGCACACAGCGATAGCCTGGGAGCTGCAGCGCAGGTAAGGGCTCAATTGTCCTGCAATTTCACTCAGGGAGTGCTGAGGGACATTGCAGGACACCGGCCTTGCCTTGCAGTGCTTGGGTTGTTTGGTACATTGGGCAGAGTGCAGTGGCTTTCCTGGATTGTTTTGGTGCCCAGATTGGCAGCATGTGTCTGGGTATCAAAAAGCAGAATTAAAACACTCCCTGCTCATTGTTCAAGAAAGTCAAGCAGAGCTGCTTGACTTAAGAAGGACCCAGGTTTTGAAAAATTGCTCAAGACACTGTAAAACTGTTCTTCCATGAGCCACCACCTTATCCTTGACACTCCCAGTAAGGAAACAGCAACCACTTGCCACTTGGAAGGGAATTTTATTTTGCACTTCAGTGTGAGGTGGAATTATAACTGGAAACTCCCTGTGAAAATAACCAGGAAGAAGTGTTCCTGTTAAAGCTCTTTACATCCATTGTGCTGGTCAATCTAAAAAAAGGATTAATCAGAATCATAAAATACGTGCACTGTTTCTGATACCAAGGATACCAAACAGGCCAACCCTCCTCCTGCCAGTTTATGCTGCCTAAAGTACCTATGCACAAAGTTCACATTTATTTGTAGACTCTGTTGCAATAGTTTTGTAAACATCACACTGGTCCGTCACAAAGTAACCTGAACCCTTGAAAGTGTGAAAACTTCTGGGGAACTGATGGGTCAGTTTGCTGGGTGGTTCTAGGAATAGAATATCCAGAAATTGAATATCAGCATCATCAAAATCATCAGTGAGTAAACAGATAGGAGCTTTAGGAAGAGGCAGGGGAGACTGCACGCCTGCCAGAACACATGGATTTTTCTCTTTGTTAGGAAAATGAAGAGCAATAGATAAGGTGAAATAATGAAAACTTGTAGTCAGTGGTCATGGATTTTTATAAGGTTAAGGTTGAGTGTGGTTATTTAGGAAATTAAAAATCATTTGGCCTTCAGTTTAAGAGGCTCGACTTGGTAGTATTGATTTTCAGTTTTTGTGGGTTTGTGGGATTTTTTTTCAATTTTTCTTTTCTTTTTCTGTTAGAATTTAGTAACATAATAAATATTATATCTAATAAATGCTATTAAATTAAATGAATTCTGTCATTCACTTCTGACTAAAGCAGCCTTGTTTAATAAATACACTGAGTGAATCCTAATGGCTTCATGCTCAGGATAATGCTTTGTGATTGCAGGGAATGGAGCAGGATGTCCAGAAAATCATAAAAGCATTGAATGAATGCCTTGCTGCTCTGCCTCAGCAGCAGCTTCAGCAAGTCACCCACATTGGGATTTCTGGACAAATGCATGGGGTTATGTTTTGGAAAAGTGATAAAGGTAACATTCGTTCTTTAACATTCATTCTTTAACATTCCTGCTCACTGTATTACAATGCAGAAAATCAAATTGTTAACAGGGAAGTGATTCTGTGATTAAGTTGTTGCATCACATCTTCTCTAAAACAGAATTAACAGAGGATCTTTTATGAGAATTTTGCTTTTTTTACTGAAATTTCAGCTACTCACTGTAGTTAATGATAAAGGATTTAGCCTAATGACATCCCTGCAGATTCAGCACAATTATTAATATAAAGGAGGAATAGCATATTTGTGCCTTGTTAATTGTTTCTCCATCACATGCTATCTGCTGCCCTTTGAAAGAACTTCTGCATCCCATGAATAACTTGCAGGAGGATTTTATTCACCTCACAAACCCCTTACCTAGATGCTGTCCAGCATCTCAATAACTCTGGTTTTTCCCAAAATCCCAAGGCTTTTTTTTCCTAGCAAGTCATGCATTAATGTCATGTTGCATTCATTTTGTTGCTTATGCTTCTGTCAGTAGGAGCTGGGAAGGACTGTGGTCAGGATTGTGGATGCTCAGCTGCTTGCCAAGGCCTCAGAGACAAAGTCAGCTGCAGTGAGGTAGTCACGTGGGGCTTGGTTGTGCAAATACCCAGATAATCCTTGTGATAGGGAGGAGATTTGAGGAATCCAGGCCTTGGACTGCCAGCCCTGTGAGATAGGGATGGATTATCTTCTTGGCTAATAGACCTTCTGAAGTCTAAGGCTTCCAGAGAGTGGGCCCATGTCCTCTTTTCACTTAACCCTGTAATCTGCTCATTTGGACAATTATATAAGTCTAATTAACAGGAGTTATGCAGATGAAGTAAAGATGTATTGTAAACCACAGAGCAGATTTCCCAAAAGTGCTGGTCACTGCCTCTCAGAAGTTGTCAGTCTTAATTGCTTGAAGAGGCACTGTGCTATTCATTACTGGCTGTAATTTTACATTAAATACTAAAAATTATCAGAAAGAAAGAAGTCCAAGGCCTGATGGACTGGAGGAGCTGTTGTTGCTTTCCAGATGTCCCAGGAGCTGCATAACAAAGCCTTGTGTATTCACAGGCACAGATTCTTATGTCATGTTGGTAAATATTTTATGTCCTAAAGCCACATGCCACTTTAGTTTCATTTCTATCAAGTGAAAGAGGGTGTTTGCTCTCATTTGTTTTGAGTGGACTAAGTGAATCCAGGACCTTTGGGACACAAATAAAAATTTTAATAGCATCCTTTAGGGTTAGGTTATGACTAATAATATTTCTTAGAATCCATTTAAAATGAGAAAAGCAAGCCAATTGGAAATTCAGTTCAAACAGATTTGATAGAACAGGGAATTGAGGAAAGAAGAAAAAATGTTTTATTTTGCATGTTTCTCATGGCACCTCCCAGCCTCCAGGGCTGCTTTTTGCTGTGTGAGTGTGACTTCCAAGCCCTGTATCCAACACAAGAATTATATTTTTTAGCCATACTTGTGTGAGTCAGGAAGCTGAGTATTTTCTCTTGACTCTCTGCTCTGTGGCCAAACCCCAGAGTTTGCCTCAGCTGCAGAGTGAGTGAGCTGTGCTGTCCCTGATGGCCTGGGAGGGGTCAGAGCTGGGCCCTGGAATGTGCAGGCAAACAGAGCTTGAGCCCAGCTCTCCTCTTCAATGGAAGAGTGGGAAAGGTGTGGTGTTCTCTGCTCAGAAGGAATGTGCTGGGCTGGGAAACTGAATTAAACACTGAATTAAACCCTGTCCTACCTTTGTTGTGTAGTGCATGAGGATTTTGCTCTTAAGCACTTTGCAGTGCACTGCTAAATACTCCCAGATGCAGGTTTCTTGTTGCTTGGACTCCAGAGGTGATGCAGCTTTGTGCTGCCCATCCTGGGCAGTCCATTACTGAGGCAGAATTCTCCAGGTGGTGGTTTAAAGAAAAAAAACCTAGCTGAGGTTTTTATGTGAGACCTCACCTCCCATAGCAGGCTGTGGTTGGGTTTTTTTGAGGCTCACCTGGTATTTAAGTTGTATCTTTAATATCTCTCTTCAAGAGAAGGAAGGCTTTGGATATCATTCTCTGTGCTACAAAGGATAATTTGCATTATGATGTTATCTAGGGCTGGAAACTAAGACTAAGACAAAGACAATTTCATTTGTCATTTCCAAACTAAGACTAAGACAATTTCATTACAGTCTCTACTGGCTCTGTTTCTGATATATTTAACAAATTCTCAGGTGTGTCCAGAAGTGAGGAATGCCAGGCAGGCTGTGCTGCAGGAGTCACTGGATTTCTTGGATTCTGTTTTGTTTTCAGGGTGCAGGTGGTCAGAGGGTGGCCCAGGCCCTGCCTTTGAGGCAGACAGGGTCAGCCACCTGGTCACCTGGCAGGATGGGCGCTGCAGCCCCACCTTCCTCTCCTCCCTTCCTCTGCCTCAGTCACATGTGAGCCTGGCTACAGGATTTGGATGTGCCACAATCTTTTGGTACTCAAAGAACAGGTACATTGCTTCTCCAAAGGCTGCTCTCATCTTGAGTTGATGTGACAATTAGTATTCTTGTAACATGTTAGTGCTGCTACAGATGAGGGCTGTGCTTCTCTGTAATCACAATCTTAATTAAGTAGTCAAAGAATATTTAAAATGGCAGTATTTAATATAAACTATGTGCAATTAAGCATGCAAGACTCTCTGACCTCATAAAAATACTACAGATCACTAATAAAAGGATAAGCTTTTCACCATATAGGAACAGAAGCTTTAAAGTATCATAGAATAATTCTGGTCTGTACCATGGCTCAGAGCAGCTGTGCTAGTGCAGTTTGAACACTGTCATTTTGCCTTGTGCTGCTTTGTGGAAGGTACAGACATGCCTAAAACAGTAACAGAGTTGCTTGGTCTGGTTGCTGCCAGATGCCAAAACAGAGTCTCTAAATGAATTTCAGTTCCTTCCTTCCTCAGACACTGAGACAGATCCTCATGGGGTGACACAAGTGCTCTGCTTTGTTGTGGTGTGTTTGCAGAGGATATAATTTTTCATTTATGATTTGGCATCAGCAAGATTTGCTCTTCAGTTTGATCTTTCTCAAAGAGCCAGTCTCTTCCTTTGCAATGAGTTCAGGTTCAATAAATGGGGAAAATTTTATGAGATCTTGGTTTTTTTCACTGTGTGTCCAGCAAATCTATGGAGCATGGTGTGATCTTTAGAGCTGCATAAGTCATGAGCCCAGCTGCTTTGTTTTACTTCACGTTTGGTACATTTCCATTCATGTAATTTGTGGATCCCAGAACAAGTGGGAATTCACCTATTTTTAACCAATAGTCCAGGATCAACAATGTGCTGTTTATTTCACACAATTACTACTTTTCTGCTAATTTTTTCCATGCTGTGCTTTTGAACCTTGACAACCCATTCCTTAAAGCTGCCCTGTCTCCATCTTCCATCTGCAGATAAGTATTGCTGCAGCTTGGATAACAAATTCCATTTAAAAAACCAAACCAATAAAATTCAGGTTGATCACTGAGGTGGCTGTTTGATATTTTAATGGACCCACATGTCTGAAGTTCCCCCAACAACGAAAATTGTCTTCTCTCACTGCCTTAAAACAAAAAACCCTCTTTTTAATTTTTTTTTTTCAAACATCTTGTTTAAAAGTCCAGATTTTCTGAAGGCTTATGATGCAGCTGGCACCATCCAGGACTATGTGGTGGCCATGCTGTGTGACCTGAAGAAGCCACTGATGTCTGTCCAGAATGCTGCCAGCTGGGGATATTTTAACTGCAGGAACAAGAGCTGGAATGCTGACATGTAAGTGCTGGGGCCATTCAGGGGGGTTTGTGCACTGCTCATGTCAAGCAGTGTGAGCCCCTCTTTGGGCCCTGACTGTTGATGTGCTGCAGATAAAAAGGGATGGAAAGTTATTCCTAATTAATTGTGGCCTGTACTGAGGAGCTATTGAGAATTTGCTCTATTTAATCTGATAAAATCTGGTCCAAAATCTACACACAGCAGAGCTGAGAGATTTATCAGTGATTCCAAGCTGTTCTCTCCCTTTCTGTGGTGGGGTGGGATGGACAAGTGCAGCCACAGTGTTACCTGTGCCATGGTAAAGAGTTACCACTCTAGTTCTTTGAGTTGAGCTTCATAATTTCTAAGATTTACTTATGATAATACTTAAGAGCTATTAAGCTACAGGAAATGTTAGAAGGAATCAGTTTATTTATTTACTTATTTATTTTAATGATTTGCTCTTTCAGGGCTGAGTGCTAAGGCCTTATATATTGCAGGGCTTAGGTTAGGCCAGGACTCCAAGGTGAAAGATCTCCTCATCAAGGTATGAAAGAGTGACAGAAATTTGCATTTTGCTGACTGAACTGTTACTAATGTGGTGGTGTTGCTGTAGCACCTGCAGCTGATTATGCAAGGAGTTTGTTGGACTTAACTCTTCATGATTTTGTTGTGAACTACTAATTGCATGACAACTGAAGTTTTGACATTTAGCTGCATTTTTTGCTGGTTTTGTCCCTTCACCCTGGACCTGCTTGTCCATATGACATCAGTAGGTTAAACTGAACATGCAGTGTATAATCTCAGGTGCTCAATTGCATAGAAAGGAAAACAATTTATTCTTCCAGACTGGTTTACCCAGCCCACTGGACTGGAATGCTGCCCCTGTCCAAACCAAGCTTTCTAAACTGGTGAAAGCATCCATAAATGCAGCAGCCACAAATGTGTGGCCAGGTTCATCTGTGACTTCAAAGAGTTTTTTTGTAGCAATGCCTCACATTCCCCAACTGCTTTATTCCAATAATGTTGTTCTGCTTCCAGACTGAAAAAATCTGGCTTTCCTGTGCACTTGCTTCCAGAGGTGGGAGACCCTGGCAGTGTTGCAGGCAGGACAACCTGTGCATGGCATGGAATACCCCAAGGAGCAAAAGTGGGAATTGCCCTGGGAGATTTCCAGTGCTCTGTTTATTCCTGTCTGACTGACAGGACTGATGCAGGTATGGTCATTTTGGTATCTGATTTGTTTTTCTCATTGTTCTCCTTCAGGGTAGCCTAGTAAAGCACTGATTGTTTTATTTTTTCCTCTTTTTTTTTGGGTGTGTTTCAGTTCTTAATATCAGCACCTCTGCTCAGCTGACCATCTCAATGCCCCTGGGTTTCCAGCCTCCAGAGGCACCAGATCCTTCCTCAGCTGTCACTTATTTTCCCTACTTCAATGGTGACTACTTGGCAGTGGCAGCATCACTCAATGGAGGCAATGTGCTTGCAACATTTGTGGGAATGGTGGCACAGTGGGCACAAGAGCTGGGTGAGTCATTTCAAGGAGAGTTGAAGCTCAAAACTGGGGTTGATCATAAAGGTAAAAGGAAGCTGAAGCAAAGGGACAAGCCTGGAGCTGTTCCATCATGCCATAAAGGGAACAAGGATGGAATTCCTGGGTCATGCTTCCCAGATCTCTGGAATTTCCTGCTGAAGCTTTTGAACATGCTGGGACAGTCATGCTTGGACTCCACATTCATATTCCCTCTAGGCCTTCTTTTGTTTCAAGCACAGAGTTATTTTGTGCCAGTTGATTTTCAAAAGGCAAGGCTGGCAGATTTGAGGACAGCAGCCTGTAATTTTGTGTGACTAAAGTCCAAAGGAGTCCTTTTGGTGCATATTTTGCAGCACTAATGGATTTTAAGACTTAAACTCATGGAATATCTTTAAAGTGCTTTAAGCATGGCATTGACAGTTTTTTTAATAATCTCTTGGGTTTTGCACTACAGAAATCAGCTCTGAAATTGTTCTTTCAGTAAGTACTTGAGGTGAATGTTGCATTCATGTGGAATCCAGCCACTGGAGCTGAACCCTGCTGTCAGTCCCTTTAAAGAAATTGTTTTGTGGGACACTACAGGCAATGAGGAGTAGCTGTTGTTGTCAGGACAGGCAGTTGGTGTAATCAGAAAAAAGTTTCTGCTATTGCACATTCCGGGATGGATGGGAGAATTATGGTTCATAATCTTGGACACACAATTACCTTTGAAAAAGATTTCCAATATTGTGCTGAACAGGTGTATCAGTGTCTGTTGTAACTGTCCACATGTGAGATACACCAGACCCTTTCAGATTGATAACAAAATCTTTCCCATCTGCAGGATTTCAGGTTCAGGAATCTGCCATCTACCCAAGGATAATCCAAGCAGCCTTGGCCCAAAAGCACAGCAAGCTCTCAATCCACCCAACCATCTTTGGAGAGAGACACCTTCCTGAGCTGCTGGCATCAGTGAGCAGCATTGGTGCCTCTGAGCTGTCCCTGGGCCATGTCACCAGGGCCCTGTGCCGTGGCCTCGTGGAGAACCTGAGCTCCATGTTCCCTGTGCAGCACCTGCAGGAGCTGGGGGTCAGCAGGGTCCTGGGCAGTGGCACTGCCCTTGCCAGGAACGAGGTGCTGAGGCAGGAAGTGGAGAGGATTTTTCCATTCCCTGTGGTTTATGGGAAGGATGTGGATGCTGCTGTGGGGGCAGCTATGGTGATGTTCCATAGTAAATAAAGTCCTTATTTGGAATGGCCTGATGCAGCTTTCTGGTTTTTTCCTGACACTATAATGTTTGTTTGTTTTTGGTTTTTTTTTACTTTATTCCACATGCACTCACTGCTTCTCCTGGGTCTGCACATTTTGTTGCTCTGTCATTTCCATTTGTGAAATGAGGAGTAATTATCACATTAAATTTATCTGAGTGACTGGGAAAGATCCATTAACTTTCTGCATAAAAAGACACTTCTTGTGAGGCTCATTTTCCTGGTAGGAAATATGTTGGAAAGGGCTGGGAGAGATGAGCTACTGTCTGTAACTTGGTCTGATGCTTTTGTGCACTCCCTTAAAAGTTCCAAGTTTTATCCCCTATGTTATGCTGTTAGAATTTCTTTCTTCTCCCAGTCTTTATTTTAATGTTAAAACATCTATACTTTTCTGTCTACATGTAGATTTCTTTTGCTCAAATGACATTGGGAAACAAGTAAGATGTTTCATGTTATCTGCATACAGTTTCATTCCTAGGAAGCCCAAATTTCCTCTGGAATATGGACATGGATTCCTCTCTTGCTCATTAGCAACATCAGGACTGACATTTTATGGTGAGAAAGCTGTGCTGAGTTCAGAGATCTTAATTACAGAGATGACTTAATTTCCATTCCATGCCATGTTTAGGAAACTGTTGGCATGTTACAGAGAAAATATAGACTAAAGGTGTTAGAAAAAGTCTGAATTTGTTGTATGTTGTTTTCCCTCTTGCATTATTATAAATATATTTTTATCAGCAGGTCTGCTTTCATTTTTATTCAATAACAGGCAAGAGCTGATGATGCTGTTGCATCAAAAGCCTTTGCAGCATTTTGGATGCTGCTGAGGAGCTGCCTATTGGTAATCTATATTTATGCATTAATAAAGAGCCTTGTTACTCTGAGTACCACAGATGTGAGGAGTTTAATTAGTTTGCTATTAAATAGGTAAATACATAATTCTTTTATATATTCAAGGCAAGACCAGAGAGACAGCCACTTTTTACAAAACAAAAGGCTGATAATTTCATTGAATAATTTCATATTCTACTCAAAATCTCAGGAAGTTGGGGGGCTGCTCCCAGCCTAGCAGCCTCTGGAAAAGCTGTTTCTCCAGGCTAGTTTCTGTCAAAAAGATCTTATGTAAATTATATATTTAGCAATATATGATACAGCTCTGAATTTTTGATGGTGTTAGATCCATCCAGGGTTAGATAAGTTGGGGTTTTTTTTCCTCATGACATTAATATTTAGAGGCTGACTCTTACATACATATATATAAAATTTAAATAAAATATAGGAGAAACATGAAACAACGAAAAAACTTTAGGACTTACTTGTTCTTCCTCAACTTTGTTCTGAATTAGCTCCTTGTTAAAATATTTATCTTTAAATCAGCCACACGAGAAAGATTTCACAAAGTTTTGTAAATTGAATTGAAATTCAAGAATTGAAACTGTGACCCCACCAGAAACAGTTGCTGTCTGGTGGTTTGGGTGCTTTTTTTCTTTTTTTTTTTCTTTTTTGCAAACTTGAGTGTATTTATGAAGAGGAAATCTGGAGAAGAATATCCATTACTAAATGCAATTAAAGGGGAGGGAAAAACAACAGCAACTTACTGCAATTCTTGTAAAGAGCTTTGCTAAACCTCTGGGAATAGAAGCCACTGATGATTCTGGTTCCAGAATTGTTCTTAATTATCTTATTGCTCTATTCTCTGTTTTTCCAGTGAACTTCCCTTGGTTCTAAAAATCATCACATTTTGCAGACAAATGAAGTGGAGAAGCAAACTCTGAGGGCTTTGCAGTCCAGGCACCTTGGAGGAGGAATATCTGGCATCAAATTCACTGAGACTGGACCATTTCTCAGAAGAGAGGATTTCTGTCAATATTTGTAAGTTCTGCATGTATATTTGATAGCATGGTTGGTTATTTTTAAACTCTGTTATTTGTGATGTGGCAAGGCATTCTAGCCAAAATATTTCCTTGTTCATTGTATCAAACTTCTGTGTACATGGGTTTCAAGGAGATCAAGTATGTTGTGTATTTTTTAAACTAGATAATGCTCATTGGGGTTTTTTGATAATCCTTCCACAGATTTGTGAAGGTTATTTCCCTTGCAAATTCCTACTCATGAGGAAATGCAGCTTTGTCTTCATTATCAAATATATTACCAGGGTTTAGAAAGGAAAGCATGTATAATGTAGGTTTGAGCAATTGCCAGGGAGACAGAATTGAGCCTATTCTGCACATTTATATTTATTTTGTGGAAAATAATTTATTGTGTGTTCTGTAGCCACTCACTGTTTGGCTCAATCCACATGAGTTTAAATAGACAAAAAATTAAAATTATACATTACTATATTCCCACTGTATTTTTCTATATTTTATAGAACTGATTTTATTCCTTTTTCACTGTAGTAATAGTTCTTCTGTAATTTTAATATCTTGTTCCAAATAGAAATATTTTTACTTCTTATTTATAGGACAATTCAGTTAATAAGATATTATGTTATTTTTTCAGAGTTATTCTAAGGAGACAAAGGACTTGAAAGGTGAGCAATTTAAATTGCAGTCATTAGCATTTTATCTGTGCTAAGATAGATTGTTTCCAGTAACCCTAAATGTGCAAGTTTGCAAATTGATGTTTTATTTATGTGTGTATTGTACAAAATTATAGAAAATGCAAATGACAAAATTTTCTTCCCTGTCCTGCTTTCACAGAAAAATGTAAGTGACCCTTGATGTAAACATGAATTATTCCCACAGAACTGAAAATCCAGCTTTAATGCAGATTTGCACACAGCCCTCAGAATATTTCTCTTGTGAAGAGAAACAACATTGAAGAGTGTTCATGTTGTTTTCACCCTGACTGTACAGAGAAAATTACTGACCACCCTAATGTGGTTTATAATTTGAGGCTTTTTAAAGATTTAGTGACATTCCTGTGCTCAAAGCTGTAGGATTTCCAAGCAATGTGGGGTTTCAGAGCATGTCTCAAGCCAGCTGTGCAGCAGCTCAGATATGTGTTCCTGTCTCCACTGCTGGAATTCCAGGCTATTTTCCATTCAGTGGCACAAGGACAATATTTGTCTGATTAAAATGGGTTGATAAGAAACCAAACAAAGAAAAGGCAACTTGTTTTACCTTCAGCAGTGTGTTATCTGTGAGGGTGGGGAGGCACAGGCTGCCCAGAACAGCTGTGGCTGCCCCATCCCTGGGAGTGTCCAAGGCCAGGCTGGACAGGGCTTGGAGCAACCTTGGATAGTGGAAGGTGTCCCTGGCCATGGCAGAGGTGTAGAATGAGATGAGCTTTAAGGTCTTTTCCCAGCCAAAGCATTCTCTGATTGTGTATTTATTGCTTGTGTCAGGTTCTGTGTGGTTGTGACTCAGACAAGATCAGCTGTGGTTGTTCTTATCAGTGCTAAGCTCTCCTCTGTGTTTCCGTGCCTCATGGCTGGGGTGACAGTCACCTCTCAAGGATCACCCACTCCAGTTTCCATCAGGCACTGCCACAACTCTGGCAAAGCCCTTAAGGATCATTTTCCTGGGTGCAGGAAGCCCTCTGTGCTCAGCACCCCAGAGATCAGGTTATGGCACAAGCAGGGCTTTTTTCACATCCCTGATAGAATCATGAGAATGGTTTGTGGCACAAACCAGTCAGAAAGTAGAGAAGAAAAGCAGAGATTTTGGGGGTTTGAGGTTGTTCAGGCTTTAGCAATGACTGGAGGATGAGGCAGTGGTTTTAGGCAGAGGTAGCTGAGGCTCAGCTCTGCAGGGAAATGGGCAGGAAGCTCTGGGATGCTCTGGTTTGCTTTCTGCATTCTGGAATGGGTGAGGGCAATGGGAACAGGAACAAATGGAATAAAGACCCTACTAAACTGTTCTGGCTGTGGGCACAGTGAGAATGTGTCCATCTGCCTCATTTCTGGGATGAGAGCAACCAATCCACTCCCTGCTGCTTGTGGAAAACATTCCTGGGCAAGAGGGGACTCGTGGCCCTGTACGTGCTGACCTGAGGTGTTTGTGTCCTTCCTCACAGCCTGCTGGCCCATCATGTCCTCCATCCTTGGGAAGATGAAGAAGTTTGGCAGTTTTGACATGGAGGAATCTGAAGTGACAGATGAACACACAGATGGGGAGGACTCTGTCCAGGAAGCCCCTGACAACCCCCAGGGCCCACTGAGCTCCAGGGTGCACCCACCCAAAAGCAACATTTTTGCAAGACGGGGCCGCTTTGTGATGGGGGACAGTGACAAGGACATGGCTCCCATGGACTCCTTCTGCCAGATGGATCACCTGATGGCACCTTCTGTCATCAAATTCCACGTGAATTTGGAGAGGGGCAAACTTCACAAGTAAGTCTGCCTGGTGAGATTTGGTTGTAATGAGTAGTTTGACAGCTGCAGGCCATGGTTCTTAGAGCAGCATTTGTTCTCTCCACTTGAGCATGACCATTTTTTCAGTTTCACTGTTTTCTATGCCAAATTAGGGAGTGTTGCAAATGAAAGTGACAATAACTGTTGTCTCTTGGCATCTCTAAAATTCTCTATCTCCATGGATATTATGCCCAAAATTGGCAGTAGGCCTCAGTTCACTTGCTCGAGGCTGCTCAGTGAATGAACATGGTTCAGAGTGAGAACAAGGGATTGCCTGGCTCCAGGCTTGCAGTTACACTGCCAAGCTTCAAAGCCTTTTTGATCACTTGTTCTCAGCTTTTCAGCAACAAAATTGTAATTTTATCAGGAGAGTTGCTTGCAGACTTTGTTCTTTTAGTCTTTGCAGAGGTACCTATTCTGATCTGCAGCGTTTACTACTTCACCTGAGCAAATGAAGAGCAGTGTTCTGGTAGCTGATAAAAAGCCTGCTAAATATCTGACTTTAGGTAACTGACATTTCCCCTTGTTAGGCTCCTGTCCACAGATTCCATCACAGGCTGCTCAGAAAAAGCTTTCAGATTTTATGACCGCAGAAGGATCTTTGATGCTGTAGCCCAAGGCAACACAAAGGACCTCAGTGACCTGCTACTCTACCTTAACAGAACCTTCAAGCATCTCACAGATGAGGAGTTCAAAGGTACCTTTTAGTGTCACATACCTTGAGTTACCTTCTTCTCCCAGTAGTGCTCCTGAGATGAAAATAAAAAAGATAATTATGTTCCATGTCTGCAGGAGGTCTTTTAATAGCCCTATTGATTGGGCAACCCATTGATTGGAAGGTTACAGGAGCTGAAATTTTCTGTGAAACACTAAATGAGGTTTCTTGTCTTTTGAAAAGAACCTCATTAATTCCTGCTTGCCTGGGTATAGATGGTGGGTTTGTAATA